TACATGGGGGGAGGGGGGTTGTTACTTTGTGAGGGTGAAAAGGGTAACTGTTTCATTGTTCTGTACACCTGAAACTAACAATAAAAAAAAATAAAAAAATAAAAAATAAATAAATAAAAATAAAAAGACAGATCACACTCATGTGTATACAAGCATGTGTATTTGCATGTATCATTAAGCTGATTTATGAAGAAAAAATAAGGTAAAACAAATGGAATTTAATTTCATTTTGAGTTCTTCTAATATTCAATTACATATTTCTTTCCCAGTCTGAAAATATTTTTGTTTGATTTTGTTTTTGTTTCCAAAATATAGCCATAACTAATAGTACTGTAGAAGATGAGACTGAAACAAATGAAGTTCAAGGATTTCTCTTTGGGAAACTAAAGTAGGTCTGAAATGAAATGAAATGTATTCCTATACTCTTAAGCTTGTTTTTAAAGGAATTACTGCATTTTGCCGTGTAATGCTCTCCTGTGTATAATGCACACCCATATTTTTGGCCCAAATTTTCAGGGAAACAGAATTAGTACTACCCATGTATAATGTGCATCTTTATTTTTCCCTCACAAATTTGGGCAAAAAAGTACACATTATACACGAGAAAATATGGTAATCCAATATACTTTGTTGGCATATTTTCACATTTAAAAAATATACATATAATTGTTTTTATTTATGACAAAAGTAATACACAGTTAATACAAAGCACAAAATTGAAAAATAATCACTAATTCGACAGTATGAGTATGATTACAGAAACAGGAATTGAAAATTATCAAAGTTATCTTTGGCAAAAAACTAAAACAAAACTTTATAGAATCATTTATAGGTCCAATGGATTACAAAAATCATGGTTAATATTGGATCTTTAGAATGGAAAAATTAAAATTTTTATGCCTCCAAAGAAGAGAAAATATTTATTTATCTAAATTTTTGTGCCATGGATTACCATATTGAGAACCTTTTAACATCTAGTTTTGATTTCATAGCCATATGTAAGTAACCTTTCAAAAATTAAAGTTATGCCCCCCTTTTTTTTTCTTGCATCATTGATTGAAGACAAGGGATAGGATGGTGAGTGCTCTCTGAATATTCATGAATGGGGATTGTTGTAGTTTCATGTGTGCTTTCTTATTTACAAGAAGGTAAAGTTTGTGATTCCAATATAAAGGCAGAATTATTAAAAGAAAAGGACTGTTTTATAATATCTTTAGTACATGTTTAGTATTACAAGTATTTATAAAGGAAACTTAGGACACTGCTGATGAGTAGATCACTACGGAGTGAGGGGAACATTTTTGGAGACTGCTAATTTATAGAGATGACTGAGTTATATTTCTAAAGTATACTGGCCAGCAGTATACTAGTGGCCTTAAAAAGTTAATACATCTTGCAAAACAGATTTATTCTAAGTGAAGTATTGAGTAGATAACATTACATTTCTTATTCCATTTTCAGCTGTGTCTCAACATCTTGGAATCCATAGTTCTTTTTCAAACATAATATTTTATGGAAATAAATTGTGCATCCTCCAAAAAGCCTTTGGAACCCTGGGTTATTAGTTTTTTAAAAGAGAAAATACTCAAAGTTAGTTCTTACACAGTTACTCAAATGACTTAGGCAATAGAAAACAAACAAAAAAACAACCTTTGCTTTAACGTATTACCATTAAGATTATGATTAAATATGAAAAACAATATAATAGCTCTTATAAACTTAATATTACTCTGTATCTTAAAATTTTGAGAAATGAGGGGTTAATATAATTTGTAGTCTCAGAAGGTTCATTGCTTTTTCACTGTAAGAACAGGTCATAGTCAGTCTTGATTCATTTTCAAAATATGGTTCCACATTGTAAACAAATTGTAAGATATTGACACTGGTGTATTTTTAGCTATAAGATTAATGCATTTCTGTATATATGTTCTGTGTATTTATTTTTCATTTCATGTTTTAAAATCCTCATTTCTCTTTACTGCTGAAAATGTGTTTTATAAGTTGTGATGATAGCTAAGGTTATTTTAAAAAGAATTTTTAAATCTGAAATAGCACTATGTCTTGATTTCATGAGAGATAGAAGAAAGATTATACTTTAGATTTTATATATATATATATAGTAAGATGTCATACTACTTTATTATTATTTGGTGCACTCTGGAGGATACCTAGATGTGTTTAACATTAGGCAAAATTATCTTAAATTTCTATGTTTCAAACATGGAACTTTTCAGAAATAGAGTAAGCTCTAAGACTGTATAGGAAGCATTAATATCTTTCCTTATAAAATTGTTTTCATTTTAAATTATAAAAGCAGTACTTGTAATTTATAAAATAATAAAATAAAAAGTATATAACATAAAACTAATAATTTTGCCCCGCCCTTGGATTCCTTATAGGTAATGTTAACAATTGAGAATAAATACATCCTTCCAGTTTTGTATTGTTTTGTGTAATATGTTGAAAAAGATAGACATATATATCTCCATTATTTATTTTTCTGTTCTGCAGATATAGTTGCATCATGATTTATTATCTTAATGATGAGCAATTAGTTTGTGTCTACTTATTTAGAAGACTTAATTTCAAAAATATACTACTTGTATAATGATTTGTGATGATAATTTACATTACTTAATATTCTAATGCAGAGAAAGATACTCAGATCTTAGAGATAATCTGACAGCATTCCAAAAATACCTGATTGAGAGTAACAAAGAAATGATGCCTTTGAAAGTCTGGGAACTACAAGGTATAGTATTTTGGTCTACTTTAACACAGCATTTTGGTAACTGATCTCTATTTTCTAAAACAAAATTTTATGTAACATGATGTAAATTATTTTTATAGACAACAATAATTACTATGATGTGAGTAAAATAATTATATTACTTTTTATGGAAATAAATATTTATTGAAAAGATTATCCATCAAGCAAAACATATTTTTATGTTTACAAGACTTAAAATTATATAAAATGTAGTTCTTTAATATTATCTAATCATTTTTAAAGTATACACTGATTTATCTTATAGATTCACCTGAAGTATTAAATTTCATTTTAGGGAAACCATAACATTGATTAAAAATCCTAACTGGTAAGTTAGGAGAAATCAGAGCTAATAGTTTTCTTCCATGTAAAAATTCGATCTTAATAGACCATTGCATGGTTTACTGTTAGCTTAGAATAGCTTCTGTGGTGACATTTTATAGGCAGATATTTTGTGACCGTAATTTAATTTGGATTGAATTATAAGTTCTTTTCAGTTTGTAATTGTCTTTGTTATTATTTGTAATGTTTCATAGGTCATTGGTAGGACATGTTTTCCTGTGTAATCCATAATAACTTATCACATCTCTCATCAACTTTTTAAAATATAACAGTTTATTGAGATATAACTGGCATACTATACAATTCACTCATTTAAAGTATACTATTCAGTGGGTTTTAGTATATTTTCAGAGTTCTTTGACTGTCACCACAGACAATTTTAGAGTATTTTCATCACTCCAAAAAGAAAGTAATGTATCCATTAGCAGTCACTCCCAATTTCTCCCAACTCCTCCAGCTGTAGGCAAGCACCAGTCTACCACCTTCTCCTTCAAAATGTTCTCCAAGAGACCCATACTTTAGGAAATTGTTAGTGATAGGGTGCTTTTAAAGGCTCGTAAGCAGAGAACATGTGTAGGCAGCTTAGTTTTAATTAGCCCTCCTAGTGTCTGTGTAAGATAGATTTGAGTGGACTAGAAACAGGAAATCTAAGACATCATTGAAATAGTGTAATAAGAGGTTGAACCATGACTATGGTAGAGGCATAGAAAGGAAGGCTCGATTGGGCAAATATTCAGGAGACAAAAGAAGTCAAAGATGGCTTTAAGATTTTCAGCCTTGAGCCTGAATAGAGAGAATACAAAACATGTAAGTAGGTAATTGGGTTGAATATTAGGCTCAGAAATAATGAGACTGGCGTTAAAAAATGACTTGACGTGATTGTGACAGTCAGATGATGAGGGCCAGTAATGGGGTGATTATAAAGTCCTTAAGCTAAAAAGAGAGGATTTAAAGTTGAAAGTCATAGCATAAAGATTTTGAAAAGGAGGGGGTTCTAATGGTAAGTGATGGAGGGTGCTGTGGTGCTCAGCCTCGTAGGACAGTGCAGCCCATGGAGAAGACAGAGTAGAATGTTGAGATATGGAAGAATCCATTGCAGATGCTAAAGGAAATAAGTTTTCAGGAAAGACAAAGCAGTCAATAGCTTTTTCTTTCTTTTTGATTGATTTAACAAATATTTACTGAATGTCTTAGGTGTCAGTCATATCCCTACATCCATGGTTTTACAATTTTTGGCTGAGACCTACAGTAGGAAATATATTTTACATCAAGGCCCATACACAAGTATATAATGTATGAATACATAGATATGCTCAAAACTAAAAAGATCTTCAGCATACAGTATGTTTACTATTAATACATTTTAGTAACTGTGACAAAATTTTCTTTTATTCTACCCTATTTCATTAGAAAAACAAAAAAAACTTTACTCATTATTCTGATTTCACTAATGGGTTCCAACTAATATTTTGAAAACCATTCAATTCTGAAGATAAAATGGCAAGTTAAAATGTACCGCATTTCTTCAAAGGATCTTAGATAAATATAAATAAAGAACCAATGTAAAAACTATCATTTTAAGTGTTGCAAAGTAAAGTTAGGTAGATTAAAGAAGGGTATTTGCCAGGAAGATCTGAGCTGGTGGGGTGGGGCAGGGAAGAGGGAACAGAAAGGAGAGGCTTCCTCTAGAACTGGTGATTGGATTGAGATTTAAGGAGGGTTTGGAATAAATTTGAGGGTGGGTTATTTGGAGAGACTATCAAAGACCTTTGTGAGAGTTTGGATAATAGTGTGAAAGAGAAGGCGATATCAAAGACAACAGCTAGATTCATGATTTGCCCAGCTGGATGGACAATAATGGCATTTGCTGAAAAGAGAAGATTAAAGAGGACCACACTGGGGCAAAGATGGGGCAAGAATATCACAAATTTGTTATATACATGCTGCTTTTGAAGTCCAAGTGGTAAAACCAAGAAGGCAGTTAAGGGCCGGCCGAGTGGCTCAGTTGGTTAAGAGCTCGCTCAAGAGTTTGAGCTCTGAGCAACAGCGGTTCGAGTCCCGGCCCCAGCTGAGCAGCCGCTGAGCTGCCAACAGGTGGCAGGATGGCTCAGCTTAAAAAAAAAAAAAAAGAAGGTAGTTAAATAGGGGGATCTAGATTTCATAGGCAAAGTATAGGACTTAAATAGCAAATTATGAGTCATTTAGGTATGGAACAGTTTAGGAAAAAAGCAAAAAATGTTAATTGAGCCTGATAATATTTTATTCCTTTACTTGTTATTTACACTCAGATTTCTTAAGTGAATTTTCAGAGGCTTTCAAATAAATTACATGCAGAAAATAGGTCATGTGAAGAAGAATTACATGCATGTTATAAAAAAGTATTAAAAGACTAGTTATGGTATCAAACCTGGGTAAAAAGATAGTTGTCCATAATGACGATAATGGTAGTGATTGATGATGATAAAAATATTAGCCAGTACTATGCATTTGACACAATAATATGCTCTTTATATGCATTATCCAAAGTTAATTTATAAAACAAACAAAATAAACAAACAAAAACTCTTGTAAGGTAGATATCCCCCTCTTCCAAATGAGAAAACTAGTCCAAGGTCACAAAACTGAGAAAGCACATCTCAGGGATACCTAAAATGAGCAGGTCTGTCTAATTTTAGAGCCTAAATTCTTTCTTTACTGCTATATTGTACTGTTTTTAAGTATAACATTGTGCAGCCACATGCTGCCAGGCAACATGTTTGATCACATACTTTCCTCAAAAGAAATACTGTTTTGTAAGTTGTTATACCATATCAATCATAGAGGTAATGACATTTCTAAATATATAACACCAGTAAAAATTATGTTGCTTATGAATGAATGCCTTTGATAGCAATAGAATAATAAGAAACATAAAAGGACCTTATTTGTTATTTTACTGTTCGTTCACTCATTCATTCATCACTGTTTGTTGAGCATCAACTTATGTATCAGGTACTTTTTTTGGTGAAAACATTTAAGTTCTACTCTGCTTCTAAAATATTGGAGACTAAGTTATTAAGTAAGCCCATGTATTTTTCTTTCCACAGAACTGTCATTTCAGGTAAAATAATGCTAAGTTTAAAGGTTCTATTTTTATTGTAGTATAAAGGTGGAACAATACTGAAAGAGAAATTGAATGTTTCCTATTTACTGAGTTAAACACATTGGGTCTTTTTTAAAGTTCTTTTTGGAATTGGCTCTTCAAATTCTTTTCTTTCCTCTTGTTTTTCTTTTTATCAAAGCTTTTTCTTGCCTGTTTCATTTAATGTAAATATAGAAAATATAACTTTGCATCAGCATTTCTTTTCATATATCTCTTCCTGAAGTTATACTGTAATTTGTGGAAAACATATTATGTATTAAATGATAATCTTACCTTAATTGGAAATAAGCAATAGCTTTCCATTTAAAACTTTTGAAAAATGCTAATTATAAGAATGTTAACATGTCTATATATAAATATACTCATATGTCAAGAAGGGCTGAGTAAATTATTTAAATTACTTGGGAATGTCTATAAAGGCCTGGGATATTAGACTCCTTAATGATGTTTTTTTCCCTTCCAGATCTTAGTTTTCAAGCAGCTTCTCAAATAATGTCCACTCCAGTTTATGATGCCATAAAGTTAATGAAAGACATCTCACAGAACTTCCCCATAAAAGCCAGGTATAGTAAAGTTTATTTGTTTGATTATAGCCAGAACTCTTTCTATTAAATAAATTTTATGAAAATAGCTGATTTCATTTAACATAATGATGTCAATTAATTCTAGTATATGTAGTGTTCATGAAATCAGGGCCTTTCTTCATTATGTATATTGGTTTTTTTTACTAGAGCCAAATATTGGCTTATGCACATATGTGTGTACATACTACAAAATAGAATTCTTGGATTAGAGGCAAATGGAAAGGAAGAAATAGTTCATTTGAAATATATATATTTAAATATAAACAGTGGGACATGATAATCCAAGAATAAACTTGTTTATGTAATAAATAAAAAGGGAGTATTTTTTGTCCCCTATGGAGGATGATGAAAAGTATTATTCTAAATGGATCTGTGCCCAAAGGAAAGCCAAATTATCTTCTTGCCCTTTCAGATTCCAGATAATTAGTAATGTCTTAATTGTATGGAATATTTTGTGCAATGCTTTTTTGCCAATAGGATAATTAACTGAACTGCTTCCAGAAATACTAATGTTACATTTAACACATCTCCCAGTTCAACAGATACTATATTTGTGTATCTAAAAGTTACCAGTACACACAGTTCAGGTCACCATGTATTGTAAGGATTGACAAAATAACAAGACTTTGATCCATTTGTATTTGGGTCAGGAATGACAGAATATAAAATTATAAGCAACCAATAAAATATAAAATAAGTTGATTTATATTACAACATCAACAAGAGTGTTTTATTGAGAGGAATTGGAGAGCATCCTTGTGCTGTCAGCATCCCTCCTTAAGCAGTGGATTATTGCTAGGCCTCTGTTTGTCTCAAGCCCTGTTTTGTACATTTTTCCAACTTACTTAATCTTAAATCTAGATATTATTTACCTTTGTAAGATAAGTAAATAGTACATAGTTGACCACAAGATACTAAGAACCTTTACATGGTACCCTGAAAGTAGAGAGATTTGTCATTTTGTTTACAGGTTAAAAATGAATATATCTATATGACTCTTTTAGCCAATTTTAAATAGTCAAGAACTTGAGAATTCATTGTTTATATTCTAAAATATGAAATATATGCATATCTGTATAAATATTATGTTTAGCCACACAGCTATTTATTAACAGTAGCTTTTGAAATTACTAGTCAAATACAAATAAAGTAAAATAATTTTAAGCTATAAGAAGACAGTGGATTTGCTCTTTGACAGTAAGTCAGTACTATTCAGGGGTTCTGTTGTTAAACTCTAATCATAATTTGTGGTTGATCATTAAAGAAAATTTGCAAACTATGTTAACACTGCTTGATGGCTAAATTGTAGACTTGAGCATATCTCTAAAGCCACTTGGTAGACAATCAGTAGATGTTTTTTGAAATAGAATATTTGCTAAATGAATGAAAAATTGCATTGTCAAATTTTCAGTTGTAATTTCTCTCAAATGCTATCAAACTTTAGGAAATAATACACACTTATTGTGCGTTGTTTTAAGATACACCTTTTTGCTTGAGTTTTAATTAAAGCAAAATTTTACATTAACAATCTTTTAATTTTTAAATCATTTTTTTCTATGCATAATTGACAGATGTGTGACTAATTAAGCATTCTTAGGAATTATCAAGTCAAGTAATAGACTTATTTTTTAAATTTCTGCTGTCTTTAAATTATAAGGGAATTATAATTATAAACTCTTCAAGAGTGAATATGTGAAGTCAATATTATCAGTATTGTAGAACTTATGTACTCTGGTAAAGATCCCAGGCTATCCAAAATTCTTAATGTACAAATATTCTGAAAATTCCGTTTGCACTGACACATATGAAGACATTGGTAATTTCATACAAAATTTCTTTGTATTATATTACATAAAATTATAGATTAGCCCTGAACATTTAAGGAAGAATGAGTTATATCAGTATTTATTTTCCCAGATCTCTGACCAGAATTGCTGTAAATCAACATCTGAGGAAGGAAATACAGGAAAATCAAAAGGTTTGTTTGAATTCCTTTTTCGAAAAATTTACTACACCAATATCGCTGTCTCATACTTTGGATCTTCAATTTTCATACCAAAATTAAAATATTAATTTGTACTTTTTGATTATTAAAACAGGTCAGGTTTTTCCAGTTTTGTGTTGCCTACTTTATATAGCATACAGTCTGTGACTCTAGCCAGTCTTTTCTGACATAGATTCTAATTGCTTCCTCATTCACCCTATACTCCAAGCCTGTTGCCCACACAGCATGGTTTTCTTCACAGGATAAAGACTAGAGGTTATGATGTAATTATTCTGTTTCTCATAATTAGTTTTGCTTAGACGTTTATGAAGACCATATCAAGTTTAGACCACTGGAACATTACTAGTATCTTATAGCATGTAGGACACAATGGTTTAGTAGTTTGCTAAGATTCTGCCACATGGTTTCTTAAATTACCTTACTATCCCAAATGATCATAATTGTCTTAATACTTGTAAAGTGCTTAGAACATTGCCTGGCTTTATTACATAGGACTTTGTAATAAAAAGTAAAAAATTACTTAAAGTTTGCCTTTAAGTAATACGGTACCAGATGCACAGGGCCCCAAAAAGTAGTTTATTTTTCTCACATAAAAACCACATACATAGTTTTTTCTTTTGATGGTTGCAAAATGGCTGCCACAGCTCCAGACTTCTTATCTGAATGCAAAAGAGAAAGAGACAGGAAGATGGTATCAACCACATTCATCCTCACTAAAACCTTCCTGGAACTCTTCAGCCAACTTTGACTTCCATCTCTTTGGCCAAACTTTTGTACTGTGGGTATCCCTAGCTGCAAGGGAGGGGAGAAAAGTTACTTTTCTATGTAATTGGGGCAAGCAGAGGAGAAATAGGTTAGAGATGGTGCCAACAGTGCCTGTCACACTGGGATAGTAAGCTCTCTACTTGTAGAATCTTCTTTTTCACATCCTGAATTTAAAAACCTGCCTATATTAAGATTTATAGCAGATTTGACATCAGATTTTAAAATTAGAATGCATATAGTTTCAGCTTAGGGATCTCCAGACATGTTTATAAACCAGTTTTCCATTGTGGAGCTCAGCCAGTCTTCTGCGATCCAATGAATTGGAAATGTTTAGCTTCAGGTAATGGGCCAGCTCCATTGGTTGTTAAAGGGATATGTTGCAATAAATTGTTCCCTCTTTTTTTAAATGGAGTCATATTTCTTCACTGGGGGGTCTGTATTTTTTTCTGCTCGAAGGCTAAGAATACTCCCAACTTACTTCACATTAAATAAAAACTTTGTGTGTCTTTTTTGTGAAAGTTTGTGAAATCTAACCTCAAACCCATATGAATAAATAAGAGGCAAGGAATTTTTATGGAAGATTTGTTCTTCCTCCACTAAGAGCCAAGGTGGGATCAGCAAGTTTCTATGCTGTTTCTGCAGGGCACTTTGTTTTCTAGGTCGCCTTTTCACTGTGAATGTAGCACTTCTTTGTGTGCACAAGGCTCTCTCTAATCCTGCTCCCTGCCCTGGGTGAGCCCAAGGCTTTGCTTCCAGTCTTTTTGAGACTAACCCTTAAAAACCTAAGCTTTAGGCCACCAAAAATTGTTTACATCCTTGGACTCCTATTCCTCCTGCTTCTCTGCACTTAGGTGAAGTCTTTACTTTGAAAAGCTAAACCATTCATTTAGAGGGCATTATTAATATTTTAATCCAGCATTTTTGCTGTTTGCTTTTAGAGGGAGGATTTGGGGATGTCTGGTTCATCATATTTCTGGAAACTGAATTCTTACCCCTTGATTTGAGAAACACTACCTGAAATCATACAGTTAGGGCAATTTACCAGGATTTAAGGCCACCTCTCTGAGGGGAAGGAGAAAAAGTTTGTCAGTACCAGTCTCCAATACACTGACAGAATTTCAGCAAGCAGGTTGACTGATTCAATTTATTACTCTTTTTGAGCATCTTCTTTGTTCAAGGCATTGTACCGAGCATAAGTATTCTTGCGGGAATCACCAATTCAGTATAGGTCTGTGTGCCTGATACGCATTCTACTTACAGTTGAGATTTCCCAGCACAAAATGAAGTGCTGGGAAAGCTTGAGACAATGTGTGCGATGGTGCAGTGTAAGTTTTGGGAAAATAGACAACAAATTCACTGCAGACTTTGAAGTTAGAATAGATTCTTAGAATAAGTAACTATTTGATAGAAAGGTACATAAGTGGTTAAAGACAAGTCAATATTTTTCCTATGAACCGTCTCATGTTAGGGTTTACTCTCTTGCCAGTATTCTGCATAAATCTAGCGGAAATATTTTCTCTCCTGTCACAAATTTAGCTCCTCCTCCTCCCTCTCTGTATGTAACTTGCTTGTCATGGTGGGTGATAACCGTACAGAAAAATTTACCTCTGTCAAGCCTTCTCTGGATCTCTTCAAGTTAGTTGCTTCATCTGCTTTCCCAGATTAGGTCACTTGTCATGTGATCACATTGAAATGCACTATTTTAAAACTGTTTTTCCCTTTGAACAAATTTGCCTACCCTGATAATAGTAATTATGAGAGCTTCATGTATGAGTGCTGTGAATGTGACTAGACACAGGTATATATTATATTTAAACTTTATAACAAACCAGTGAGATATAACTACTCCATTTTACAGATGAGGAAACTGAAGCTTAGGGAAACTAAGTAAATTTGCCCAAATCTTGTCACTAGTAAGTAGCAAGACTAAGATTTAAAGTAGATCTGACTCCCTCACCTTATCTTAACTGTGCCATACTGCCAAGGGCATAGCCTTTTTTACTTTAGTTACTGCTCTAGTGCCTGGCATTATTTCTAGTACACAGTAGGCACTGGAGACATAGTTAATGAATGAAAAGACAAGACATGACATTGAAACACTGCTTTGGAAACCTTCATGAAATTAGAGTGATCTCCAAATATTTACACATACACCAAAGTTTTGAGTCCTTGGATAGCAAAGAATAGGAATGTGCCAGTGTGTGCACGCACATACGCATATTCATACACAATATAAAATGTAGATAAGTAATTGTTGTAGCATTAGAACCTTAATATCACGTATTACAACATCAAAACATTCAAGTATTTGTGTCTCTGACCGATCATCTGATTCCCATCACTAGATTGGGGTGGGCAAACTACTTCCCACCTGCAGGCCAAATCTGACCTGCTACCTGTTTTTATAAATAAAAGTTTTCTTGGAACTTAGTCATGCCCATTTGTTTGTCTGTTGTCTATGGCTGCTCCCATGCTCCAGGGGCAGAGTTGAGTGATTGCAACAGAGATGACATGGCTGACAAAGCCTAAAATATTTACTATCTGACTATAGGAAGTTTGCAGACTCCTGACAGATCGCTCTTGTTATATGACTTGGTTAACTATTATTCTGCTATTTCAAGGATCTTCACAATAGGTTTGAAATTCAGCCAGGTGATGCTTGTCTATATATAAATGGACTTCGTGTTGATATGGACGATTATGATCCTTTTAGGTAAGTATTGAATTATTGATATAAACTATGGTTTATATAAAGGTAAATACTGTCTTGAATTTAGTATTTGTCAAAATGCAAATAATCACTTTAAAGGTAAAGCAAATACATGTTTGGGGGGGTGGGTTTTGGTATTTTTTTGTTGTTTTTTTTTTTTTAAGGAGGGCGCAGCTCGCAGTGGCCCAGGCAATCTTGGTGTTATCAACACCATGTTCTAACCAACTGAGCTAACCAGCCATTCCTTCAAATACATGTTTTTAATTGTATTTGTAGAACACCCTCTTAAGTGTCTTAGAATGTCAGAACCAGGAGAGACCTTGGAAACATTTGTTCAGATGAGAAACCTATACTTATCCCATTACTTGAAACTCTTTCATTGAAGAGTAGGTTTACCTTTTATCAGGGAAGTTCCTTGACACTGGGCTGAGCGGCCAATGAGTTCTACTGTCCAGAAAGGAACTGAGAAAAACATGCGATGTTTCTTCAGGAGAAAGAAATTAACAGGAAGAATTCAAGTACTTGTGTTTGTCAGAAAGGAAATTTGAAGTTATAGAATGCAGGGTGCTATCTATTTCATTAGGTCAAAAATATTCTCAAAAAATAAATGCTCTAGGACAGAATTAGATAGCCTTTTTCTTTATCATGGCCTCTGGCCCATAAATTAAAGTCTTGGGCCAAAATCAGAGAAATCAGTTTATTTTAAAGAGAAGCTTAAAGTACTCTAAAAGTGAATACTTAGAGTATAAAATGAATTTAGTAAACATAATACTTTAGTTCAAATATTCCATTTTAAATCAGTTGAATAAATTGTATTGAACTTTAATTAAATGTTTATTTTCCTACCAGTTTGGAAATAGATAGACTGAGAAGTAGATAGTTCAAATGGGGCTTTTCCCTTTATTTAGTTGAATCCTTGGACATACTATTGGGAAAATGTTAATCTAAGATACATAGGGTAAGCACGACACATAGAGTAGAGCAGGGGTTAGCTCCTGGCCTGTGAACTTCAGAGGGACAAGAGTTACATCTGTGCTCAGAAACAGTGAGAACAGGCTTAGAAGAAGCAGTAAGATGGTGGGTAGATTGTGGGAAGTTTTCTGTGGCATTGTATGGGGAGACTTTCATAACAGGAACATTTTGATGTGTAATTTAGAAAGGCTGTAGGTTATTCAAGAAATACAGCCCCTTGGCTCCTCCACTGGTATTAGTGACCTGCAGGACGTGGGATACATTTTTGTTCTTCATTGAGTGATTGCTAGTGTAGCTTCTATAATTCCCATAAAGGTGGAAAAGAAAATATGTGAGGATATTTATATCTTCTGACATTTTTAGTACAAAATAAACAGTTAAAGAGGTTCTCAGGAAAAGATCAGAACATGTCAGTAAAATCAGTGTGAAGAGATTGGTGAATGGAACAATATGATACGGGAAAGAGGAGAGGAAGGAAAATGTCACATTACTGAAGTTAAATCCTGGAGGTAGAGAGAGATCCTATGCAACTAGTACTTCAGAATTGTCCCTTTGGGGGAAAACATGGGAGAGTGAGTAATTACTTTTTGCTTCCTTTTCACCTCCTGTGTCTCACTGCATTTTTGGGTTGTGGAGAACTGATACCACTTGCCATGGCCTGGCCCTTCTTCCTCCGATCCTGAGATAGTGGGAGGAGCCAGAGCTCCCATTGGTTAGGTCAGCATCCCTTCAATCAAGGCTGTGCCCAAGCCGAGCCTCGCTGCCAGGGAGGCTGAGACAGTAGGAGGCAGTATCAGGGAGAAAGGTAGCTAGGACTGAGGAAAGTTGAGTTCCGTAAGTGGTGTCCTATGTATCTGCCTTAGAGCCGCTCACACATCTTTGTCTCCAAGCAGTCACCTCAACCCATGTTTGACCAGACAGAAACTGATACAAAGTGAATATTACTCATTTTGATAGCCAACCTGTTCATGCTTGAGCAAGGTCATACAAATAATTACCAGAAGGAAAGAAGTAACAAAGGTGTCTTGATAGCTCCACTTATGTAGATTTTTCTGTATCTAAATGAAGTTACCTGGATCAGAATTTTGGGGGGCTCTTATAAATATATATATTTTTAATGCAAGCAACATTTAAATTCAATATTATAAAATTAATATTGAAATTCAATTTAGTAAGTGTCTGAGTACCTACTAGACTATATAAAAAATGCTCGGGATTTGGGGTATAGAGGTGAACAAGACAGAAATGTGGAGTTCTGTAGTTTTCTCTGAAAACTGTACTCTAAAATCCATATATTGCTTTATTCCGATTCCATTCATTTCTGAAGTGAGAAGTGATTTCCATGACTGGATTTTTTTTAATGGAGCACTTAGGTTAATATTACAAATACGAATGTTAACACTTCATTTTAAAAGTACTGAAGTTTTTTCTTACCTATAAATTTTTACCTTTTTAAACAGGAACACACTTGACCAGAGTCCGTAAAGCCTTATCTTCACAGATGCAGGGAAACGCTGCATTTCTATAAAGTCCATACCCCAGCTCTACCACTCCACTGTCTCAGAACGGGGAGGGCACTTTACCTGTCTAAGCCTCAGTGGCATAATTTGAGACTTCCTGAGGCGGTTTTGAGAGGCAGAGGACCTCTGTTTGAAAAGTACTTGGCACCTGTCTGGCGCACGTACAAGCTTGATAAATAATGATTAAAGAATCAGTTGCCCAAACTTTTTGTCAGTAGGGTTATTTATTGATTGTGTTGTTTGTAGCAATAATACTTTCTATCGTGTTTTAAGAGCTATTCAATTATATATGTAATTAGAAATTTTATATGTATTCTAAACAAATGTGAATTTTCATGCTTTAGTGAGGCTTTCTCTACCAAATTTTTATGTTTTAGGTCATGTTTGATCTTGTTTTTGTAGCAGATTTATCAAAAGAGTGACCTATATTTTCCCCTTCATTTTTGGCTTGCTCAGGGGTGAGCCTATTCTCGCTTCTTTGATAGGAATATAATAATAAATATACCTTGTTGCTTGTTGTCTTATTTTTCAAATAATAAGATTTTGTTAACCACTAAAAACAAAACACAAAGAACCCTCAACATAACTTTAACCTGGAAAGCTAATTAGAAGAACTCTGATTCGTTCATGAGTTTAATTTAAGTATATATTTTTTTCTGCTATTAGTAAAAATGCCAGTGGAACTTGTTTCTAATGCTTTGAGAAAGCTATAAACTTAAAGGATTTAAAAAAAAGTGTTGGCAAATCAGAACTAAACATTTTCTTTTCTTTAAATGTAAAGTATTTTGGATATGCTGAAACTAGAAGGAAAAATGATGAATGGCCTTCGCAATCTTGGGATCAACAGAGAAGATATGAGCAAATTTTTAAAATTAAATGCGCATGTTTGGGAAAATAGTTATGTTTTAGATATTAGGCACTCTTCAATAATGGTAAGTGCTCATATAATTCCTTGTTTTAAAACCTTTAGTAGATTTAAGACAACATAAAACCAAATATTGTTAGTCTTTAGAATTGTCAGTCTTTAAGCATTTTGAAAGGGGTTGTAGCGGGCCCCAATGAGAAGAAAAATGACAGATTCATCCCCTCTCACTCTTATACCTTCTATTCCCTTCCTCACATCCTTGGCGTTTTCTCACAAGAACACTTACTCTTTCAGCATCCTTTCCAGCTTTAAAGATAAAAACAAAACAAACAAGAACAACAAATAACCACATGAACAATAGCAACAGCAAAACGCCAAATAGTTAAAACTGAGGGATATAAGAAGGCCACCTTCATCTAAAGAAAGCCACGCATAGACCATTTTCAGTGCCTTCCTCACATTCCGGCCTGTGCATTATATAGCCTGAACAAAGTTTTTCAGATCTAATCACATTGCTCTCCCTGGCGAAAAGCACAAATACAGTGCTTAGACTGAAATATTCTCCTCGCCACTATCCCTTATCTCATGCTTGGAAAGAAAATTTTCTCTCTCTGTCCAGTCCACTTTTTTTTTTTATTTTTATCAGACTTCACCTCCAAACAGTACTTCCTGAGAGAAGCTTTCCTTGTTAGATGATTTTTTTCAGATATACACTGTGTCAAGAAGTCCCCCAGAGCACCATCAAGTTTGGTGATTTGCCAAAAACATTCCAAAGGCCTAGAAATTGTTATAGTCGTGGTTATGATTTATTAGAGCCAAAGAATACAAAGTAATGTCAGCAGAGGAAGAAAGGGCATGAGGTGGAGTCCAGAGAAAACCAGGTGCAAGCTTCCGAGAATCCACCCCTAGTGAAGTTGTACAGGATACAGTTAATTTAGTGTGTAACATACGTGCAAAGTGCAGCCTACTCTCTTGCACCTGGGAGTTCAGGGCTCTGAGAAGGGGGAAGTTATATAGGCATGCAAGTATAATGGCTATGAGACTGATCTCAGTCGCCGAAGCTCCAGACCCTCAAAGGAAAAGCAGGTGTTCATCATAAGGCATATTGTTTGTAAAAACTCTCTATACTTAAACTGCTGCAGCTGCAGCAAGGCCCTAAGAATGCAGAAACTGTCATTCATAACGTTCCTAGAGCTCAGTTACCAGGAGAACTTAGAGAACCTTTATCACAAAAACAGGCTGTTCTGGGGAATGTGCCAGGTGTGAGCAGCCCCAGGCCTGCTGAATTAACTCTCTCTCTGTGCCTCTCTCTGTTCTCTCTCTCTCCCACCTCCCTCTTTCCATCCCTCCCTCTTATACATATACATATTATATGTTATAGAACTACAATCTCTGTATACTTAGCACAGTTATAATTTTCACTTATCCTGTGATTCATTGATATCTTTGTTTTGTCTAGACTACTAAACTTCTTGAAGGTGGGAATTTTATATATTTTTTTCTCTCACCAATATATCCCTGGTTTTAGTAGGTACTCAATAAAAATAAATATTCCTTGAATGAATAAATAAATATTTATTTCCAACCAAGATAAAATGTAACTCTTAACAGTGAATCTCTGGGAGCATTCTAATTACAACATAATATAAAAATGTTCATATCACCATTGTGATTTAACATTATTATCAAATATATAACTGTTAGAAATAAGAAAGTATTGCATGACATTAAATTATGTAACTAAAGCTCCCCAAGGAAAGCCATCGCAATTAATTAGACTTCAGTAAAATGTGTTTGCAGTGACAGTAAGCAGATCAAAAGCTTTTTTTCCAAAAACCATTTGGATGACAAAATGATTTATTCATCATAACATAAAAATTTAAATCCTTGATATCTTAATAATGACTGTATAATAAAATAGTCTTAATAACTAATAATGAAAACTGCAACTTAACTGAGAAGATATAAAAGAAGGCTAAAAGGACACATGGAAAGAGACTTAATTGGCACAGCCTTTTAAAATATTGCGGCTGCTGTGCCCTTATAATGTTCATAGACTTTGATCTAATAATTTCATTCCATCATAGAGAAATAGTAGGAAATGGAGAAAGATCTTTATACCCAAAGATATGAATCATCACTCTGTGTTTCTAAAACAAAGTAGAAACAAGTTATGTATATAACAGAGAAATGTTGTAAATTGTATATCTACACTATCGAGCATTATCCAGACATTAAAATTGTTTGTAAATATGTTTTCATAATCAAGTACAATGGCTATATTCTCATGTTAAGTAAAAAATAGTCATATGATATCATCAAGTGAAAAGATAGACACAGGATCAGATGCAAATACATCAAAATGTTATTAATGAGTGATGTGATAAAATCAATAGTTTTGTTTTTTATACTTTTCTGTAAATTCCAAGCTTTTAACAGAGGGTATGTATTACTTACATTATCAGAAAAAAAAAAAAGGTTTTAAGAAGAAAAAAATAGCCTTTCAACATCCTGCCAATTGATATAAAAATCTAAGGAATTCGCTCTGAAATATGTGTTATTATAGTTACTTTTGCCCTTCCTGAACAGCCTTTCCACTTACAAATTTCATCCACCATCTAAAAATCATGAAACCATAGCAGCACCCGGAACATCAAAGCCCTCAGACTCATTAGTTACCACTCGTATTTTCTAGAACATTAAGTAACTTGTTACAAATGATCATTATAACTGTTTTTACTACTCTTTAGACAATATTCTCTCAGTTGGCTAGTTGTTACTTTTACTTAGATATCTGTAGACTCCATTATAGATACCTTTCCTGAGAATATTTTATCAGAAAAAGGAATGACCATGTTAGTAATCTTCAGACTTTGTGCCCTTTATTTTAAGCATTTATGCTTTTTAGTATTTGTAAAAGAAAGCTGTGAGTGTGAGTCACACTGAGAAAATGAAGTAAATAATTTTCAAGGCTCTTCTGGACATAAGAAATAGATCGATAAAAAACTTTGCAGCTCCATTTATAAAATAACATCCTGGTCCTCTGAGGTTGGCAATAGGGGACAGTCAGTCCTTGTGGGGAGGCCCTGGTGCCATCCCCATTGTCCCTACCCTCTGCAGAGTCACATTTCCCTTGGCTGAATTTTTCTGCTATACTGCTTGAAGTCTTTTACTCTCTTGCCTAACTCTTGGACACCTCCAGAGACATTCTTTACTAGGGAAGTTCTCTCTGAAAGTGTCACAAAGTAATTTTTTATTGAGGTAAAATGTACAAAACATAAGCGAGACTCTTTTAACTATTTTAAGTGTGAAGTTCAGTGTCATTAGGGACAGTCACAGTTTTTTACAACTGTCACCATTATCCATCTCCAGAACTTTATCATCATATTAAGCAGACACTGTATTCATTAAACAGTAACTTCCCGTTCCCTCGCCCATAGGAACCTCTGTTCTACTCTCCATCTCTGAATCTGCCTGTTCTAAAAGTACTTCAGATAAGTGGAATCATACATTATTGATCCATTTATGCCTGATTCATTTCATTGTACATAATGTCTTCAAGGTTCATCCATGCCATAGCATGTATCAGAATCTCATTCCTTTTCAAGGCTGGATAATAGTTTAATTTTTAAAATATCTTTTTTTGCATATATTAAGGGAAGTTTCATGTCTCAACTAAACGCTTTTATTTTTCCACTTGGAAAGTGCCTGCTTTGAGTAGAAAATTATTTCTGAGACTTTACCTTTAAAAAATTAGCTGGCACAAAATGCAGAGCTCTGAGGTCTCAGCACCCTTTTCAGCTTGGTCTGTTAGAGCAGCAAAAATTAACTCACACGTAAGCTTTATTTTTGCATCATAACATTTGCTACCCCCCGATATGATATGTATTTATTGTTTATTTATTGTTTATTTATAATCTTTCAGTGGAATGTAAGCCCCCCCTAAAAACCAGGACTTTGCTAAAAATCCTGAACAAACATAGGAAGCACTTAGAAAATTTGTTGAATATATAATGTCATGAATGAAAGTAGCACTTTACTTTTAATTCATTTCCTGCCCAGATCTGTCTCCCCACAACTTTCTGTCTTCACAGAGAAAGTTGAATCACCAAAAAGTTAAAACACCACAAATCTCTCTTCTTACTGAGATCCAGCCATTTTTCTTAAATAAGCACTCTCATGGTTTGCTGCAAGCTTTTGGCTAGTTTTTGTAGTTCTTAAAATGTTGATTCCACAGATTTTCCAGTGTTTCATTGCTTTTATGTCAGGGCAGAGTTTTGGAATTTCTTAGTTATTTTATGTATGGCACGCCCTAAAGAAATCCCAAAATGTGTGAATTTTAAATCTTTTAGGTTATTTGCTTTGCTGAAGGAGTCATCCTATAAACACCATGACCCACCTTGTGTTCGTCTGTTGACCTGTAGAGTTCCTTGAACATTGAGAGATTGTCTTATAGGTTCTAATCTATAAATAACAATATATTTTATTCAATATCTTGGAAACCCAATAGATATAAAGGCAAGAATTATGACCAACAGAACTAACGGAGGGAGATGATTAGAATGTCAGTGCCAGTTCCCATGCAACTGGGTGAGACCACTCTTCCAGTTATGGTTGCTGCTTCTGTACATTTGCTTGAGACTAAAGAAATGGGCATTTCAGTCTCTCTGGCCGAATTCAAAGTGATTTCCAGTGTTATTTCCGTAGTTCTCCAAAATGGATCAGGGTTATCACCTCAATTAGTTTACCCAAGAACCATGCTATAAATTCAGCCATTGCTGTAGTTTTCCTATTTTGGTATTGATGATAAGATCACCTAGGGCACTTGTTTCAAGTGGGTATTTCCCAGTCCTGTTCTAGGATTCTGATTTAGCAGGGTTGAAGTGGGGCCAAGGAATGTATATTTTAAATAAACACCTCCAGCTGTTTTGATCAACATTAAAAGCGACTCTACCTCCAGTCATTATTCATCTTCATTGGGACTGATACATAAAGCATAAGGCCAGTTTCTCACTTAAAATAAGAAATATAACTGACTACCAAGGGGATCCGATATTCACAATCCCTACATGGTGCTTCTCCTCCTCTGATTCCCATAGAAGAGCAAGTAACTAATCTAGACACTGCTGAGTCTACAGAGATTTTCAATTCACAGGGGATTCCTAGCATATTGTGACACTCTTTAGAACTGTTTTCTTTACCTTTACTACTTGGCGAGAATTACCTCAGAAACATAAACAAGTACACTACTGTTGACTTTTCCAGGGGACCAAAGCTCCCTTCTATCTCAGTACTACTACTATTATAATCATTAATATAGTGGAAATAAACTAATTCCAGATCCCTATTATACTTATTAGCCACATAGAAATTGTTGCAACTGTCCACTGCTATTCCTCCACAGGTGTCTTAGAGACATCGTAAGTATGTCTAAAACTGAGTTAACTTCCTCTTCAATTTCCTGTCCCCTTCCCTGGAAAAGTGTACGTCTCTTAGAGCCTAATATCTCCGTGTTCACATTGTGTTCCTTTCCGAAAGCCATGAATTACCCTAGATTCCTCCCTCTTACTCATCCCTATTTGTGTGTGTCTATTAATTCTGTCTTCTCTCTAAAACCACTGCCTCTGCCTTAGTTAAGCCCTCCAAAAACTCAGGTCGTGATTACTACAAAAGCCTCCTCCCGATTTCTTCAAGTGTTGCTTTGTCTCATTCTTTCTCTCCTCTCAGACTTGCAGCTACATGTGTGTTAGGTCTTTTGCCTCTGTTGTTCATCTCTCATATGTTTTGTTTTGATTTTGCATTATTTTTTTCTCTGTGTATTTTAGTTAGTATATATGTTCTATAACTTTTATAAGGTGTTTTGTTTTTCTTATGTCCATGCCCTTAAGTTTGAGGGGGCGGGGGTTAAAGGACCTCATTGCTTCCTGTACTGCTGATAATTAAGATAAATACTTACCTCGCTTAAATGGTTTCTGGAGAGTAATTTTTATACAATTTTAGTTTTTAATATTAAAAACATACAAGTAAAAGGAGTCAGTGTTTGGGGGCAAAGCTTAATGTAAAAGGCCATGATAATGTAAAATTGTTGGATATAATGTGTTCCTTCATTTAAAGAATATTTAACTGGCTTCCTATATTTACTCAGAAATATAGAAAATCCTGTGATATTTTCACTTGTTTGAAAGAGTAAAATTTGTCTTTGAGAATTATTTAAGTATTATATTAACACAGCTTTAACAGATTTCTGGATTCATTTCTAGTGGATTAATGACTTAGAAAGTGATGATTTGTATGTTATGTGGCCTACAAGTTGCCAGGAACTTCTGAAACCAGTATTACCTGGAAGTATACCTTCCATAAGGCGTAATTTTCATAATTTGGTGAGTTTTATATTTTGACATTTTGTATACATCTTTTATAAAGCATTGTTTTTGGATTACCCTACTCTTGGTAAATGGGCATCTGAATAAGGAAGGAGATTCAACAAGCTGGAGTGGCATGGCTGACTCAGTATTGAAAGCCAGCAATGTCACATCATCTGCTTCTCACTATTTAGCCTTTATGTACTTTAATAATACCAATATTAAGTTCATGGGTTACTTTTACATTTTCTGAAGGAAATTATGATAGAAACTTTTCTTCCACATTGTGAAGAACTAATGATTAAAGTTTAGTATTTCAGGGAAAAATACATGAATACCGTTTTATCATCTTAGCATGTAAATTCATTATTACAATATAAACAACCCTATAAAACTTTAAAATATGGAGAAAACATCAATGGAGGGATTTACTTTTTTCACATTGGAAGTGAATATTTTATTTCCTATATCAACTTAGAGTGAGCAGTTATGTTAGTGCTGTTTCTTTTGGTTGAAATTCAGTTACTATTTTCTTTAAAAAAATTATCACAGAAAATCCAATGAACATTTAGAATGAGCTATTTCACTTTTTGTAAAAAATATTTACTTTATGCTGTGCTTCAGAAAGAGGATGAGAAATCAGATATTAAATTCCATGTATAATATTTGGATGTACAACTTTTAGAAATCTTTCATAAACTGAAATTTCTTATATCCATTTCTCATAATTCTTTAGAATTGCCAGAAATGTCTTTTAAAAAATTGTACCTTGAATTTTATACTTGTACTATAGAAATTAGACTAGAATTTCATTAAAATTCTTAAGTGTTAAAACAAAATAGTGATTATAGATTATCTACTTTCTTTTAGGTTCTGTTTATTGATCCTGCTCAAGAATATACTGTGGATTTTATAGAACTTGCTGAACTTTTCTATTATCATAAAATTCCTCTTAGGTAATTGTTAAATGATAACAATTACAGTGTCAACTGAAGGAAAGCCAACGATGTTCATGTTGTATTACACAGAGTATTAATATGGAATTCAGAACAATGATATCTTTAGTTCCTGAAAATGTAGCTGTGGGTTGTGAAGTGTCATATACCTTTATGACAGACTCTGTTAATCAAAGCTACTTGGTAGTCTTGTTTACCCTGTTACCTTCCTGAGAGAATGATCTGATCATTTGGGTACCTAAGGTGGATCCATTTCCCTGTGGCTGTGTTAAGAGTATGCCCACTCCCCACACATACACACACACACAAACACACAGGGTTTTTTTTCTGTAAAAACATGGTCATTGGAAAATGTCACCACAAGAGACTGTTTACATTTTGGGAATCCATCAGGTATGGAAATTTTGTTGAATGGACATTACAAATCAAACCCTTTCAAATAATAATACTCCCTTCCTCCCCATCTACTAATATACGAGGTGTGATCACAAATACGTTGAATGTTTAAATTTAAAAAAATTATTACAGTAAAAGACACATTGCCATTAATCTCCCTCAAAATACTCCTCCTCACTTCGAGCACACTTATCCCATTGTTCTTGTCACTTTCTGAAGCAGTTCTGGAAGTCCTCTTTCATGAGTGTCTTTACTTCATCGTACATCATGATAGCGCTCCGTGTCACACGTCACTTCTGGTATGGCAATTTCTGTCAAATAAAAAAATTACAGTGTCCTCATCCACCTTATTCACTTGATCTAGACTGTGCAACTTCTAGTTCTTCCCCAAAGTCAAACTGACCATGAAAGGTAAACATTTTCAATCGATTCAGGGCACCAACGCAGCCACGACAGCGCAACTAAAGACACTCATGAAAGAGGACTTCCAGAACTGCTTCAGAAAGTGGCAAGAACGATGGCATAAGTGTGTTTGAAGTAAAGGGGAATATTTTGAGGGGGATTAATGGCAATGTGTTTTTTTACTGTAATAATTTTTTTTTAATTTAAACATTCACCGTATTTTTTTTAATCACACCTAGTATTCTCTCCATCTAGATGTTGTAGTCTAATAATGTTTAAAACTTGTAGCTTATTGTGGTTCAAGGGGTATTTGTGATATTCCTTATTCATTTTTTTTCCCCAGAATTGGTTTTGTGTTCATTGTTAATACAGATGATGAAGTTGATGGAACCAATGATGCTGGAGTTGCTCTTTGGCGAGCTTTCAACTATATTGCAGAAGAATATGATGTTTCACAAGCATTTATTTCCATGGCATATGTGAGTTTATGCTGTAGGCATAATTTTTTTACAATGTACAGTGGGTTTCTTTGCATTATTATAATTATTATAATTTATTATTTTAACATTTCAAAATTTATAAAAACTATTGGGATTAACACAGAATATGAATTTAATTCTTACAGCTCCCAACTGAAGTACATCATATGGTCCCTGATTTATAAATTATGCAACTGAGGCTCTCCAAAATATATGAACTTCCTTAGGTAAACCCAGCCAATAAAGGAATTCAAATTGTATGTATAAGTTTGAAGGAAAACATATTAATAGAAAATGATTAGTCAAGGAAGAATTGTTGAACTAGGTCTTGAATAAAATCATGAATAGAAAAGATTATGCAAATTTAAATATTCTCAATGACAAAGTAAATAGACACTTCCTAGAGAATTTCAAAGGAGAAAGAGATCATTTCATGATAATAAATTGTTGCGAAAATTGTAAGATTGATACAGAATCTGACAAAGAGATTGTATAAGAAAAATCATATATTGGAAAGAACCTGATTAAGGAAGAATAAGCGACAGGATGATTATTTTACTATTTTATAATTCAGGTTTTGAAACTATTAGAACCCATTATTAAAAAATATAAATGCATTAAAGAATTATATTGTTATTAGGAAAGTCAGGTTACAGCTTAAAAATACTTTCTATTCATTTTTAAATTCATTGGTCTTTAGCTTGTCAGTCATTATTATAAACAAGGAATAGTTCTTCAAACTGAGAATGAAATTACCAAAGCACTGTAAATTTTCTACCCTATTTCTGTAGCTCCCTGGAAAACCACTAAATCCCTCATTAATTCACTATCCTGGGGTATAGAAAGTACCTACACTTCAGTGAGTTGGGATATATTTTGTTCTGTAAAATAGTGCCATGGAATACATGACAATATTATATCTCAGTCTGTTAGTTTTACTGATTGATATTAAGAGTTTATAAGGGGCTTCCAGCCGAGTGGCTCAGTTGGTTAAAAGCTCGTTCAAGAGTCTGAGCTCTGAGCAACAGCGGTTCGAGTCCCGGCCCAAGCTGAGCAGCCGCTGAGCTGCCAACAGGTGGCAGGATGGCTCAGCTAAAAAAAGAAAAAAATAGTTTATAAGGGGCTTAATCAAATTGACATACTTTTACTAAAGTCCAAGCACCGTATTGTAAAAGGATCAATATGATATTCAAAACTAAGAAACTTGGAGACCTTCCAAAATGATCTTTACCTAAGTTATTTTAACTATTTCTATTGAATCTATTCTGTAAGCCTTTTGTTCAGACATTAATTTGCATGTGATGACATATTTTTCAATCACTTGCCTTTTGATTTACCTACTGTGATGTTCAGCACAATACTATAGTTTCTTAGAAAACTGAATTACACTTGAACCATAGGATTTAACCAAACCTGCATAGAAATAAGTATTAAATATGTTCTGTAGCCTACAAAATGTGCTAAACAATTGGGAAGAAGGGAAGGGAAAAACAAATAAGGAAGGAATATTTAGGGATAGCATATTAGATCCACTGGGGTCTGAAGTGTGACAATGTTGGTGGTTATTTAAACTATGTATGCAGGTGACCTCAAAATTTGTGTGTCCCATAGAAAAGTAAAACATTATTGTGCTAACATTCTGTTAGGAATGTAGTATGTCCTTTAGATGACTTGGATTTACTAATTTAAAATAATTGGAGCAAAATCTAGTCTTTTAGTAAAATACATGAATTATAAAATTTCTTTAAATCTGTTTCATTGCTTTCAATGAGCAAATTATTTTATCTAAATTTTATCTAAATCATTTGAAAAATACAGTATCAGGAGAGAGGGAATAGAATAGAAGGCCAAAATCATAATAAAAGTATGTAAAAATTATTGAAATGTGATAGAGAATTTCGGTAGAGTAAGTACAGTGAAACAGCGTGACTTTATAACTCAGCTCTCCTGCACAGTGGCTATGCAAACTTACAGGTTATTTAATTTTTCTCCCTACCTTACAAGTTTAAGGTTTTAAAAAATTGGTGTTACATATTTAATGAATATTTGATGAATGCATGTTTGAGAATGTAAAAGCACTTTAAGACTTGTCCATGATGGAGTAACTGACAGCAGATTAGCCATCTGAGTATAACTATAAAACTGGACAAAATACATGAAATAAGTCTGTTTTCAGGCATTCGACAAGAGGCAGCAAGAACTATGATCCTTGCAAAAAGGTGAAATAAAGATATTTACAGATAAAGACAGAAAATTATTTGCTGCGTTAGAAGAATTACTAAGGGAAATCATTTAGGATGAAAGGAAATGATACAAGATGGTAACTCAAATCCACAGGAAGAAATGAAATTGTAAGACTAAATAAAATGTAAATATATGGGTAAATAGAGAAGGCAGTATGAATATAATTTTTTTCTTCTTTTTAAAGTACAAAAGATTGAGTAAAACATAAATTCTAACTTACATGGATGTAATACATATCATGATAATTATACAAAGGAACAGAGGATGAAATGGATCTATTTTGGAACTTTAATTCTATACCGGGGATGCCAAAAAAATGTATACACATGACTTTTATTCATCTTTTGTTATCAGTATATATTGAATATTGCAATTTTAATACAGTTTTTTCCTTTTTTAAAATGCATATACATTTTTTTGGCACCATCTGTATTTGCAACATTAAGTTAGGATTAATGGAAGTAGACTGCGGCAAGTTCTAATGCATACTATAATTCTTAGAGTAACCACAACGAGGGGCCAGCTGAGTGGCTCAGTTGGTTAAGAGCTTCCTCAAGAGTGCAAGCTCTGAGCAACAGGGTCACCGGTTCGATTCCTGGCCCAAGCTGAGCTGCCAACAGGTGGCAAGATGGCTCAGCTAAAAAAAAGAATAACCACAACATGAAATCTGAGGTAGGATAATTAAGTTTGTGAACTTGTTGCAACGATGATGCTGACCTTTTTTGCTGTCAGAGGGATTATTCTCTATGCATTTGTACCAACTGGACAAACAGTTAACCAAGTTGACTATTTGGAAGTGCTAAAAAGGCTGTGTGAAAAAGCTAGACGACCTGTCTTTTTGCCAATAATTCATGACTCTTGCATCACGACAATGCACCCGATCACACGGCACTGTCTGTGAGGGAGTTTTTAGCCAGTAAACAAATAACTGTATTGGAACACCCTCCCTCCTCACCTGATCTGGCCCCCAATGACTTCTTTCTTTACCCAGAGATAAAGGAAATATTGAAAGAAAGGCATTTTGATGACATGCAGGACATCAATACTATGACAGCTCTGATGGCCATTCCAGAAAAAAAAGTTCCAAAATTGCTTTGAAGGGTGGACTAGGCACTGGTGTCAGTGCATAGCTTCCCAAGGGGAGTACTTCGAGGGTGACTGTAGTGAAAGTCAGCAGTGAGGTATGTAAGCACTTTTACTAAGATTAGTTCGCGAACTTAATTGTCAGACCTCGTATATAGAAAACAAAGCAAAATGGCACAAGTTAATCAAGCCATATCAATAATTATATTAAGCATGAGTAAATTAAACTTAAGCATACTGGAAGAATGGATATAAAAAGATGGACAATTATACTCACACTAAATATTCAACAATCTATAAGAAATGGATAAATGCTTAAAAACATACAACCTACCAAGACTGAATCAGAAAGCAATATAAAATTTGAACAGATCAGTTACTAGTAAGGAGATTGAATCAGTAATCAAAAATCTCTCAACAAAGTTCAGGACCAGATGGTTTCACTGGTGAATTCTACCGAACATTTACGTAAGAATTAATACCAATCCTTCTCAAGCTTTTTCCAAAAAATAGAGGAGAGAACACTTCCAAACTCATTTTACAAGGCCAGCATTATCCTGATGCCAAAACCAGACAAGAACACTACAAGAAAGGAAAACTATAGGCCAATATTCCTGATGAACATAGATGGAAAAATCCTCAACACAATATTTGCAAACTGAATTCAGTGGTACATTAAAAGGATCATACACCATAATCAAGTAGGGTTTATTCCTGGGATGAAAGGAAGTTTTAACACATAGGAGGTGTGATCAAAAAAATAAGGTGAATGTTTAAAAAAATGTATTACAGTAAAAGACACATTGCCATTAATACCCCTCAAAATATTCCCCCTCGCTTCCCATCATTCTTGCCACTTTCTGAAGCAGTTCTGGAAGTCCTCTTTCGTGAGTGTCTTTAGTTGCACTGTTGTAGCTGCCTCGATGTCCTGAATCGATTGAAAACGTTTACCTTTCATGGTCATTTTGACTTTGGAGAAGAGCCAGAAGTCACATGGTGCCAGATCCGGTGATAAGGCGAATAAGGACACACCATAATGTTTTTATTTGACAGAAATTGCAGTACCAGAAGCCATGTGTGACGTGTAGTGTTGTCATAATGGAGGATGATTTACGGCACAGTTTAAAACAATATATTACAGTAAAGACCTTCTTTCAACCATAGCTCACACCCGACTGACTGCTTGAAACTTGTAACACTGTTACTAAGGTTCAACTCACTGCTCCCTGTATTGAAGATTCCTGTCTTTCTGTTTGATGGCTCTCAGCAGCAGCATTCACCATTTTTTATTGTATGAGAAGAAAGCACACATAAACTGAGAAGCTCATATAACTACTCTGTGACCTAATTACAGACCTGTGCTTCTTAAAGGACTAGGTTACAACGTTTAAAGTGAGCAAAGGAAAGCAAAGAAGAATGTTAATTCCTTATTGTGAGGAATAACCTGGGGATTCTGTCAGACATAATGTTAAGGATTGTCTCTGGCAATAATAATTTAAGTGAATTTGAAACAAAAAGAATATTCTTAATTGATATATCAAAATGCAACCTAATGGTGTTTGTGCTTACTAGTTGCTCCTTCTGGTTGGAAGGTTCTTTCCCCAGAATGCCTTAATGTTAGCTCACTGTTCATATTTATGTCTCGGCTAACTCATCTGTGCAGAGAGGCCTTCTCTGTTGATGCAAAGCTCCCCTTTTCCCATGTCTAGAACAGTGTCAGGGTCATAGCAGAGGATCTATAATAAAGGGGGAAATGAAATGAACAAAAAAATAATAAAGGTGTAACAGCTTACATTACGTTTAGATCATTTGAGATGAATGGAGGTACAGAGAAAATCTAGTCAGGGTATTTACTGAAGAGCAATCAAATGAGAAGAAAGCATTTCTGAAATAAGTTATTTGAAGTATTTTATGCAAACTTTTAAAAATAAGGTAAGCATTATTAAGAATAAGTGATCAAAATAGATAAAGACAAAAATTTGTTATGGTATTTTTGAAAGGTATAGAATTTCACAAAACCATTTTTATTAGAAGATGATATTTTGTACGGTTAACATGGTATGTATGGGATGTGTGTATGTACTTGTATGTATATGGCATGCTTAGAACTTATAAAATGTATTTACGGTAATTTATAAATCTCATCAGCATGCTCAAGGGAAGAAAATAAGTGCTGTAAGATGAAAATTAATTATAATATCTTTATTTTTCACAGATGTACCAAAAAGTGAAGACTCAAAATACACTCACTGTGGATAATGTGAAGAGTGTTCTCCAAAATGAATTTCCTCACGTTAATATATGGGATATTTTGGGAATTCATTCTAGATATGATAATGAAAGAAAGGTAACTTGGAATGCAAATTTTCAAAAATAGGATCCAAGAACCTTGTATTGTAATCTTGTGAATAAATTATCTCAGTATAATTAACTCATGATTTAGACTTTAGTCCCTCAAAAGGAAGGGAAATAGACTGAATGACACGTTTATATGCTATTGAGTTTTTGAAAAGTACAAAAAAAGATAATTCTCAGGATTTACAGAGTAGAAAACTTGAGTATAGAATTTTAGAGATGTAATTCGTGCTTTCTTAGGAAGAAATGGAAAGCTGGCTTTTTAGGTAATTGCTAGGACAAGAATCAAACTTAGGAAAATGTAGCATCGTTGGGGTTGAACTTCTAATGCTCATGTGGACCTCAAGATTTCTAAATGGGTTTTTGCATTTTATAAGAGTTTTTTTAAAATCAGATCTGAGCCTGATAATCTTATATGTACTATCCCTCAGTAGTGATGGTAAAGTTCAGGATCGTTAGTATTGTAAAGGTCCTACCACATTTGGCCTCTGTGTAATTCTTTAGTCTCGTTTCATTTTTTAGTGTGTGAGTACAGTCTTTTGCTTGCTCCGTTTGTTTTCCTCCCTCCCTGTAAGACTATCCTGTAATGATGAGACCTTCAGTCTCTTAATTTCTCTATTTTTCCCAAGTCTCTTTAATCTCCAATTTAAACTGTACCTTGTTGCTTGACAATCCTTGAGTTGTGCTTGGTTTTCTCCCCTCCCTAGTCCTCCCAAAAGTTATTCTAAACATTCTTCAGTTCTGTAATCCTCTTTTTGCACCTTATTCATCATGCCTAGAAAATCATTCTGACTCCTATATCACAAATTAGTTTAGGGTTTTATTCTATAAGCTCATATTCCTATAATTTTCTCTCCATCCAAACTTTGTACTTTTAACAAATACTTAGTAAATACTTATAATGTTCCTGGCACAGGACAATAAAGAATAGAATACAAGGAAGATTGCTTAAAAATTAAAATTTAATAGTACAGAGACAAAAAAATAGAAATTAAAATTAAGACCAAAAGGTAAAGAATTAGAGACTCAGTCCAGAAGATTCAGAAAGAATAGAGAAAACAAAGGAAAGGAAAGCATCAGAAATAACAGAGAAATTTCCTAAATTGATGGATATGTCTTCATTGGAAGAGGCCCACCAGATACACAACACAAAATGAGAGAGGAGCACTCTGGGGGGTGGGAACAGGAATACTTCTCTGAAGCAGTGACATTTAAGATGAGTTCTGAAGTAGGAGAAGAGTTGGATGAAAGAAAACAAGTACATGGTAGGAGATTAACATTCCAGAGAGAAACGTTAGGAGGTCCTGAGTTGTGAAGGAACTAAGAGAAATTGGTTTTGCTGCTGTATAGATATCAAGCATGTGTTATATTTGCATTGCAGAGGAAAGTTCCTAAAACAAGGCTAGAGAAGTAGGCAAGGAGCCTGATTACACAGGGTCTTGTGAACAATATTTAATTTGAACTCAGAATAGTAGAAGACCTTGGCAACAGTGAAAAACTTAAAAAGATATTAAGCAGTGAAGTGACAGTGATATGCTTTAAAAAAAAAACACTCTCCCTTATTGAGAATGGGTTGTTGGAGAATGAAAGTGTATGTAGTGAGACAGATTAGGAAAGATGGAGAGAAGAGATGAGAGATGGGCTTGAGGCTTTGGAAGAAGTAGAGACAGAGAAAACGGGACACAATCGACTGAGTTAGGAAGTATAATCCAGGACCTGCCACTGGATTGGATCGGTTGAGGGAGGATGTGAAATTGTCAAGGACAACTCCCAGCGTTCAGTTGAGCAACTAATTACTGGGAGGGTTGTGGTGTCATTGCCAAGATGGAAAGGAGTGGAGGAGAATCTGAGTGGAGAATAAGATCAGAAGTCCTGTTTTTCACATACTGAACTTGAGGTGTCTGTGAGATTATCAGAGGAGATATGAAATAAATGATTAGATATATGCATCTATAGCTCAGAAGAGAAGTATGGGCTAAAAATTTAAAATTCAGTGTCATTTGCTCATTTGCTAATTAAAGCTTTTGGAATGGACGGGCCACTTAATTGGAAATCATAGAGTAAATCAGAAGAGGGCCTGTATTCCTAGCAGGGACATCTTGCTTGAGGTCTGTACCCATGTATGCAACTGCCTAGTGGATTGCCCATAAGCATCGTAAAAGAATCTAAAACCAAGCCCATCATCTTCTTTGTTAGCACAAACTTCTTTTTCTTTTTTTATGCCCTATCATAGAGAGTAGTGTCATCATTTTCCCAGGCCATCTATGCCACCCTAAACTACTTCTTACCCTCATACCCTCCCAAACAGTAGACCCAGTTCTGCTAGCTAAATATTTCAGAAACAGCCTCATTTGCACCGTGCCCATCACCACGGATTTTTGTTCTGGCTATTGCTTTTTTCTTTCCCATACTTTTGCAGTAGCCCCTGACCCACCATTCATAGTGTGTGCTCTCTCCACCTCTTCCTTCACATTGTTGCTACTGTGTTCTGTTTTAAGTAAGCAAATCTGATCATATTATTTGTCATGAACCCTCTTCCTGGATAGAATTAACCAAATCCTTCTTGGTACCCCTGGATACTATATTCTTGCCTTTTTTGTTTGTTTGTTTGTTTTTGTTTTTTTTCCTAAAGGTTTTATTGGATAATTGGGGAAGGGGAACAGCCAATTTGTTGTCCTTCAATCTTAGTTGTGGAGGGCGCTGCTAGCTCAGCTCCAAGTGCAGTCGCCATCCGGCCGCCTGTCGGCAGCTCGCAGCCACTCAGCTCAAGGTGCCATGTTCAATCTTAGTTGTGGGTGGGTATAACCCACCATCCCATGTGGGAGTTGAACCGGAAACCTTGTTGCTAAGAGCGCATGCTCTAACTACTGAGCCATCTAGCCACTCATGGGCAACTCCCAGGGCAGCTTAGCTCAAGGTGCCGTGTTCAATCATAGTTGTGGGTGGGCGTAGCTCACCATCCCATACAGGAGTCGAACAGGCAACCTTGTTGTTAGGAGTGCATACTCTCACCAGCTGAGCCATCCTGCCACCTGTTGGCAGCTTAGCAGCAGCTCAGCACAGGTGCAGCTCACTGGCCCATGTGGGAATCGAACAGGCGACCTTGTTGCTTAGAGCTTGCGCTTTTAACCACTCGGCCATCCCTCACACCTGTTTTAAGTGTATCCATGTCTCCCTCTGTTAAAGTATAAGTTTCCTTAGGATAGTGTTTGAATATCATAGATAGGCACTCATAAGCCTAATACACAATAAGTGCCCAATAATTGCCGAGATAATATAGTCTGGTTGTTAAGAGTTCAGAATCTTGATTAGACCTAAATATAAATTCTGTTCACAAAATATAGTAACTATGTGACATTGGAAGTGACTTCATCTTTCTGTATCTGTTTCATCATCTGTAAAATGGATGTAATAGTAGTACTTAGTTTCATAGAGTAATTGTGAGAATGTTGGCTATACTAATTATAATAATACATAGCATTGAATAGCAAATCTATCATTTAGTGACGCTGTGTTTACTCATAAGACAAAATGCAGGTGTTGACGACCTTCATGATCTGGCTTCTAACTATCTCCTCTGACGCCATACCTGACAGCTCTACCCACATATAACTCTCCCCACTGTAAACAGCACAAATGACTTGCCATTCCCTAAATGTGCCGTATTCTCCCTTCCCCTCCACTGATTGCTGTGTTGTCTCTTTTTCACTTAGAATGTCTTTCTCCACCTTGTCTCCCTAGCAAATTTTTGCTCATCCTTTAAGGCTTTCCGTGTCGCTTCCTAACAGAGTCATTCTCTGTTTCCTTCCACTCCATTCTCTGGCTTGGTCAGATGATTCTCTTCTGAGCTCCCGTAGGACCTCGTACATGCCTCTGTTTTGTTGGTATGTATGAACCCCTTGAGGACAGACTTTCCGCTCTGTAATCACAGGGTCTAGCTTAATGCTGGTTGCATGAATTCAGTAAGTACTTAGTAAACGAATACAGTGGTAAATTAATCTCTGAACTGGTAATTGATATTTTTTTAAAAATAAATGTTGTGCTCTGTATGAAGAGTCAGCAAACTGTGGCCCATAGGCCAAATCCAGCCCTCGCACTGCCTCTTTTCATATAGATACAATTTGGGTGGGGGGGACATGGCCATGTTCATTCGTTCATATGTTGTATATCACTGCTTTTGCACGATAACGTCAGAGTTGAATAGTTGCGACACAGACCTGATAGCTCACAAAGCCTAAAATATGTGCTGCCTGGCCCTAAGTAGAAAGTTTCCTGACTCTTGCTCTGTGTAGATAAGTTACTTTCCTTAAGTAATATTTGGAATGGATGGATAAAATTAACACATTAACAATTTTTTCTTTGGCATATAAAAATGTAGCAGTGTTCCTTTTTCTTCTCATGTATTTCTGTTTCAGACGGCCATATTCTGCTTAACTCTGATATTTTTTAACCAAATAGGCAGGAGCAAATTTTTATAAGATGAGTGGCCTGGGTCCTTTGCCTCAAGCTCTTTATAATGGTGAATCCTTTGATGTTGAAGATGTGACTATTAAAGAACTAGAAATGGCTGTGCTTCAAAAAATGATGGACATGACCATATATTTACAAGAGGAAGTTTTTATGGTAGGTAAGCATTTATGAGGAAATATATGATGAATGTTATTTATAAACGATTTTTTGTGTTAAAAAGTATTTTAATAGCAAAAGTTAATTTTGTAAAAATTGCCATCCTGATCATTTGGTAGTGATTTTTAAAGTAATAAGTAAATTTATCTATATATGATTACATCTAAAAATCATTTAATTAGAAAGAAAATTCAAAGTTTTAAAAACATGAAAATTTATTAGAATCCTAAATTACATATTATTTATTGATTTATTTTAGATTAAGTAGTCTTTAAATGTATTCTTTGCATAACTTTAAAACATATGCATATAAATTGCCTATATTACCTAAATAATATTTTTGTTATTTTAGGGCACATTAAATGATCGAACAAATGCAGTTGATTTCCTTATGGATAAAAATAATGTTATACCCCATATAAATCCTTTGATTTTTCACGCTGAATGGCAGTACCTTAATTTAATATCTACATCAGGTAAAATAATCTTTCTGTATACTTTTCTACAAATGCTTATTGAATTGCAAATGTTTTATTCATTATTTAATACTTAATATGAAAATTTTCAGTGACTGCCGATGTTGAAGATTTCTCTACTTTCTTTTTCTTGGATTCACAAGATAAGAGTGCTGTGATTGCAGACAACATGCATTATTTAACCCAAGAAGGTAATAAGCATATTTTATCTTCCTGAATTAATTCCAAAGTAGCAATAACTTGTAATTTTAGTAAGGTATTTGCAGAATACATTTTTATATGTTGATATTTGACTAAAGGCCTCTTTTCAATTTGAGAATTTATAATTTGTTAGGATATAAGGATTGTGCTCAGAAAATGATACCTCCTGTCCTAGCTAATTATCTGCGCAGAGGGGTTTGTCTTGGGTTTTGTTGTGGGTTTTTTTGCCTTTTTTTAAAAGCAAGCTATGCTATTTTTCATCTTTTGAAGAAAGCAATAAAACCTTTTCAAGACTATGTAAACTGATATAATGCATGAATAAACGTGTAATTCTCATATTAGAGAATAGTTCCGAAATCTCTTTAAACAACATGTGCATGTTCTGCTTAAATTGAGGTTTAAACCAAAGGAGGGGAGACCAAAGCAGGAAAAAGATGGAATAAGCTATTGTGTTGTCGGAAAAGTCATGATGTATTTTTTCTGTGTTTTTCATTGCAAAAATGCATCATGATTTTTCCGACAACCCAATAGGTAGTAAGGGGTAAATTTTTATATATGAGAGATTTAAGCAGAGGCCACACAACCAATTTTTGAGAATCCAAGTTTGAACCAAATGATCCCAGAATTACTTTCTAACTGATCTATAATTTTTTTTTAAGATTTTATTGGGGAATTGGGGGAGGGAACAGCATTGGGAAATCAGGGAAGGGGAACAGACAAGTTGCTGTCCTTTTGTTCTTCAGTCTAGTTGTGGAGCCATTGCTTCACTGGCCCATGTTGGTATTATCATTGCGCTCTTCCTGAGTGAGGCAGTCGCTCGCCGGCCATTGGACAGACGGCTGCTCACGCTAGCTGCCGGCCACTCACAGTAGCTTATGGCAGACCACTGCAGCCCACGCTGTCACCGGTGACTCACGGCAGCCCAGCTCCAGGTCGAGCTGTTATTCACCATCTTAGCTGTGGAGGGCACAGCATCACTGGCCCATGTGGGATTGGAACTGGCGGCCCTGCTGCTCAGACCTGGCATCCCAAGCCAACTCTTAACCAACGAGCCACTCAGCCGGCCCCCTGATCTTATAATTTTATGTTTATAAAGTGACCTGTCTACACAAAGTCCAACAAATTAAATAAAGTATAATGCAGTTTCATTTTCTGAAAGGCTAAGATCTTGAATATGTAAAGTGAAAAACAAAGGAGACAGAGAAATAAGGAATAAAAAATAAGAAACATTTATCAGGTTCTGTGCTGTGTTTCAAAAATTACTTCTGGGCATCAGAGTAAGTTAGCCTATAGTTAATGCCCTTTGGTTAAATCTCTTGCAATTTAAAAAGATACTTTCTAAACTCAGAAACACCTGATTTCTTGTTATTTGCCTTTATGTAAATATGTAAAGAAATAAAGAATTGTGAGAAATTTACATAGCACTTTTAAAATATTTCTCAGTTTACTAGCTGTGATGGTAAAAGTGCTGACAGTAAGGAGGCATCTTTTCTTCTTTGAAAAGAATGTGCCACTTGGTACACTTGGTATAGCAAAATTTTTACGATTGTTTTAAGTAGGTCATGTGTTCTAAAAGACTCATTTTTCTCTACATTTTAGCAATGGCCAGACAAGTAATATTTCAGATGTTTTATGCTAATGCTGGCTGAAATAAATGCATTTAAATGTGACTTCAGAATTAAAATTTCTTTCTGTGGCATCCAAATTTTCAAATTTTTCTGAAAAAAATAATTGTATTGATGTTATTGGCATGAAATGATGTGAATTATTCCAAGTTCATAATAGCCGGACAAAATAAATGAATCATAAGCTAATAAAATATTTCTGGTTTTAGTATCTACTAATAAGCTTTATTATACCTGGTTTTACATATATGTTGGGTATAAATATCAAAAATTTTTTTAACAACTGTAGCTAGAAGGCAGATTTGCTTGCCAACACTAGAAGTGTGATAAGCATAATATAATTTTCTCTACTGGTAGAAGTATTCCACAAATGTGTCCCTTAGGGACTATTCTTTCTTTTCTGTATCTGAGTTTATATAAAGCTTATATCATTAATTACTCTTCTAGCATTTTTATAAGTATGTTAACTGTGTGTAATGTTTAGCAATATTTGCTTTTTTCAGAAAGATTAATTTTAATATTTGTTTCTTGGGGTTGGTTTTTTTTTTTTATTTTGTTAACTGGATATGTCCCGTTCTTTTAGTTTGAGTTAAAAAAGCATTAGTTTGACTAACTATTTGAAACTTTCAGATGACAATGTAATTTCCTCAGTAACTCTCTGGATTATTGCTGATTTTGACCAGCCATCTGGGAGAAAACTGCTTTTGAACGCATTAAAGCACATGGTGAGTAAGCCTGCCTAGAAAAAAAGCACCTAAAAAACATAAACCAAAATAGTTTATGAAATTGTTTTGTATTAGCTAAGTGTAAATTTATTGCTACATAACAAATTGCCCCATAACTTAGTGGTTTAAAACAGGAACCACTCTTGTCTCACAGTTTATGGGGTTTAAGAATTCAGGCATGACTTAGCTGAGTGGTTGTGGCTTGGGTGTCTCATGAGGATGCAGTATTTGGCTGCTGTCTCTGAAGGCTTGATTGTGTATCTGTGATATTCTTGCTCAGATTTTTTTTCCCCCTCGTTTTTATCTTTTATCTTGGTTTCCTAGGGACTGCCTCTGGGTCAGCAGCACAAGCCACTTTTTGGTCAAAGGTTGTGCTTAAGTCCCCAGAGTAAGTTACATTTTCACGCTTTACTGTTGGATCTGTGTCTGACTTAGAGACTACTTTCACAATTCAGAGATTTTATGATTTTGCCTCACATGCACCCATGGAATAGTATCTTGGCATTTCCCTCTCTAGTTTTTCCTGAGATGATTAAACCTTTGGCAGGCACACAGCCCTCCAGACTGCCCAGGATGACTTTAATTACTTTAGTAATCATTGTCATCATATAATTTGTTTTTAAACCTGCCTTTCTAGGAGCCATCCAGGGTCAGAGTAGCTTTTTATTCAGCAGTGTTTATTCAGGAAATGCTTTGAAGTCTTCCCTGTGTCCCACTGCGATAGTACTGAGTGGGACCAGCGAAGCAGACGTGCAGTTTTACAGACCTCAGGGGTGAAGGTGATCCCAGGACAGTTTTTCTTGTCTGTCTCTTTCTCTAATTTTCTAATACTCTCTCTTAAAATTCTGGCTGCTCTGCCATATCATGTGACATTTCTTGCCTAGAGGACTATATAGAAACACCCCTGGTGGGATTTTGCCCACAGGCTGTACTTTGTTGACTCCTGATCTAGTGCATTAATTGAATTTTCTGTGATATCAGTTCTTATTTGTATTCTTTCGGGTTTTATATTTTTAGTCTCTTTTATTTTCATTTCATTTCATCCAGCTTGTTTTTAATTGCTGCCTTTACCTCACTTCAACCTCTCCTTATGTCTCCCTGGGTCTGTTTTTTGGCGGCCATGTTTTCTTTTCATTACTACATGAAATTCAGAAATATAATGAGCACTTCTATACCTAGCGCCTAGATTCTATCACTGTTAACATCTTGCCATATTTATCTAATTATCTGTTTGGGAGAGGGGACGAAGCAGGAATGATCTAGATCATTTTAAAGTAAGCCGTAGAAATCAGCACATATCTCTTAGCACTTTAGCATTCATTTCCCAAGTAAAGATGTTCTTCTACATAATTGCAATACCACTATCACATTACTCATACTAAGTCTGTATCAAATTTTTCCTAGTTGTTCCCACAAAGATGTCTTTGCTTTTTACAAACCAAGATCCAAAGCAGTTTTCCACAATGCATTTCATTGTCACGTTTCATTAGTTTCTTTTATTGTAGAACAATCCCACCCATATTTTTTTCCATTGACTTTTTAAAGAGACCAAGCTCATTGCTTTGTAGAGAAATCCCACATTCTGAATTTCACCAACTGTTTACCTGTAGTATTTGTAACTTGTTCTCCTAGCCCTTATATTTTCTCTATACTAGAAGTTTATATCCAAAGCTTAGATGTAGTTTTACCATGTTCTGGCAAGAAGACTTCATGGGTGATGTTGTATTCTTCTATATATTTACATGGCATCTTGTATGTGTGGAGCTTCTCCTCATGGTCTTGTTGTTGAAGCACACAATGTCAGGTTGTCTCACAATATATTTAAGGCATAAAGTTGTGGTAGCTAAATCTCTACTTTGTAAATGTGTTTCTTATTTTTTCAAATTAGAATTAAACTACCCAGGAATATTTTGATGCTATGAATACCCTGAAACCCACAATCTTATACCTGATGCTTTTAGCATCTGTTGATGATATTTGCCTATATCAGTTATTTTTGGTTGCAAAACAGAGATTTTTTTTCTTCATTTATTTGTTGGTATTCTTCTGAAATAAGAGACTTTTTCCTTATCAACTGAGGGTGACAAGAAATAAAATTATTTCTAAAACTACAGATGAAACTCTGTATCCTTTATACTTAGTTACTAGTTTTCAAAGAAGAGAGATAGTGTAGAAGTCTGCTCTATTGATGGCAAATACACATTTTTTTCTCTTGTTTTCAAGTATCATTTGGCTCATAGATTTTTATTATTATTATTATTATTTTTAGTGTCTTCCATCACTTACATGGTGTCTTTTCTAGATGTTCACAGAGTCCCGTGTGGCTAATGAACCCCTTCACGTTGACTCCTGTGTCCTTTTCCTGAGCATTTTCTGCATTCTGAAAAACAAGATGTTTCTTTCTAACCTTATATTCTTTGTCTCAGATCTATAAGCTGCCATTTGTCCAAAGACTTCTAACTCCTTTTAGTGGGAAATGGCAGTAAGAAAAACAGATGTCAGCACGAAAGGTGCTCATTGTTATTAGGGTATTGCTTCCAGGCCAGTAGTGAGAGAGTAATCTGTGTTTTCTATAACTTCTTTCCTATATAAAATTATTTTCAGCATAATAATTCACCTCAGAGGATAGGCTCAAAGTACATAAAGCAGAACATGACAAAACTTCAATGAGAAACAGACAAATCCATGAATCATATTATGAAATTGTAACACACCTCTTTCAGCAACAAGTAGAATAAGTACATGGGATCAGTAAGAATGTATAGAAGATTCAAATAACAAGATCATCAAACTTGACCTAATGGGCATGATAGGAAAATGCAAAATGTGTAGTATATATTCTTGCAAAACACAAATGTAACATTTAAAAAAATCTTTGTAGATGCTGGACTATAAAGCAAGTCACTTAAAATTTTCAAGGATCAAAATCATACAGTGTATTCTTTCTAATTAAGTTAGAAACCAATAATCAAAAGAAAACTAGAGCATCTCTGTATATTTGAAAACTAAGAAGTGTTTCTTTGTAACCTGTTGGTACAAAATGCATATTTGAAAGTATTTTTTAAATGAATGAAAATTTTAATGATGTAACTTGACAGTTACAACTAAATCTGTGTTATATGAAGTGTGATAAAAAAAATACTGTGAATGCTGCTGCTGAGTGCCATCCAACGGAAAGGCAAAGATCTTCAATACAGGAAGTGGCACGTCAAACCTTAGTAACAGTGTGTGACAAGTTTCAACATGTTCGGTGCAGTCAGTTGGGTATAAGCTACAGTTGAGAGAAGGTGTGTTTTAAGGTGTGCTGTAAATCATCCTCCATCATGACAATGCTCTGTGTCACACATCGCTTCTGGTATATGGCAATTTCTGTCAAATAAAAACATTACAGTGTGTCCTCATCCACCTTATTCACTGGATCTGGCACCGTGTGACTTCCAGCTCTTCCCCAAAGTCAAAATGATGCAGAACATGGAGGCAGCAGCGACAGTGCAACTAAAGATACTCACAAAAGAGGACTTCAGAACTGCTTCAGAAAGTGGCAAGAATGATGGGATAAGTGTATTCAAAGCAAGAGGGAGTATTTTGAGGGGGAATTAATGATAATTATCTTTTACTATAATAAATGTTTTTATTTAAACAGTCACCATATTTTTTATCACACTGCATATATATCTGAAAAAAGAAAGGTTGTGAAATCAATCAACTAAGCACAGATGTTCACATTTAAAGACAGCAACTTAAACTTCTATCAAAGAAAGTAAAGGATAGGATAAAGATAAGAACAAAAAGTAATGAAATAGAAGACATGTAGTAAAGGTCCACAACGCCAAAAGTTGGTTCTTTGAAAAGATCAATAAAATGGATAAAATACCAGGTAAAACTGGTCAAGAAAAATGGAGAGGCAGGCCCCGTCAGTGCCATGACTGAAAGAGGGGATGTTACTTAAGAGCCTGTGGATATAACAGAGGTAGGAAGAAGATATTTTTAATTATCGAAGGAATTAAATCTGTAATTGAAAAAGTTTTCAAAATAGAAAACTCCAGACCCATAGGATCATACTACTAAACTGTACCAAGCACCAATCTAATACAAATATTTTCCAGAGAATAGAAAAGTAAGCAATACATCCCAGCTTGTTTTACAAGACCAGCATTACATCAAAACTAAATGCCTAAAAGAGCATTATAAAGAATGGAAAATTGTAGGCCAATCTTACTCATAAACATAGATACAAAAATTTTAAACAAGAGCTGGCCAAGTGGCTCGGTTGGTTAAGAGTGCAAGCTTTGAACAATAGGGTCGCCAGTTCAATTCCCACATGGGCCAGTGAGCTGCGCCCGAACTGAGCTGCTGCTGAGCTGCCAACAGGCAGCCGGATGGTGACTGGACTTGGACCTGAGCTAGCTGCGCCCTCCGCAACTAAGACTGAAGGACAACAACTTGGTTGTTCCCCTTCCCCAATTCCGCAATAAAATCTTTAAAAAAAAAATCCTAAACAAGTAAAGAATGGTCTAAACAAACAGTAAAAAAACCAAAAAGGAAAATTTTAAATTATCATTTTTCCAAATTGTTTATACAGAAAAATACATATACATATACACATAAATTATTAGAATTATTATTATTTTTTTAAAGATTTTTATTGGGGAATTGGGGGGATGGGAACAGAGCTGGGGAATTGGGGAGGGGGAACAGACAAGTTGCTGTCGTTTTTTGTTCTTCAGTCTAGTTGTGGAGGACGTTGCTTCACTGGCCCAAGTTGGCACCATCATTGCGCTCTTCCCGGGCGAGGCAGATCAGTCGCCGGCTTCTGGACGGCTGCTCACTGCGGCTGCTGGCCGCTCACGCTGGCTGCTGGCTACACACGGTAGCCCTTGGCAACCCACTGCCACAGGGGCTGCAGCCTATGCCGTCGCCAGCGACTCATGGCAACCCAGCTCCAGGTTGAGCTGTTGTTCAGCATCTTAGCTGTGGAGGGCAGTGTCACTGGCCCTCATATGTGGGATCCGAACCGGGGCTCTCTGGCATCCCAAGCCAGTTCTTAACCATCGCGCCACTCGGCCGGCCCTAGAATTATTTTTTTATTTTAACCAGGTTGCTGAATAAACAAGGCAGTATACAAGAATTAATTCTGAGAATTACAACAAACAAGAATGCATTTTAAATAAACATACCACTTATAATAGTATCAAAAATACCACGTACTAGGAATAAATATAACAAAATGTACTTAAGACTTTTACACAATAAAATATTATTGAGAGAAAATTCAGAAGTTCTACATGAATGAAGAAATAGACCATATTCATGAATGGAAAGACTCAATACTGTAAAGATGTTAGTTCTCCCAGGACTGATGTATAGCTTCAGTGAAATTCCAATATGAATCTCAACATTTTGTATGGAAATTGTTAAGTTTATTCTCAAATTTATATAGCGATTCAAAGGACCAAGAATAACTGAGTTACTCTTAAAGAAGAGGAAAGTGGAATAATTGCTCTGCTAGATATGAAGATCTTTTATAAAGCTATATAATTGAAGAGAATTTCATAGTAGCACAAGGATAGAAAAATAGAGCACTGGAAAAAGAATACAGAACCCAGAAACAGACTCGTGCATATGTTACACTTTATAACTTTAGGGAAAGATTTCTAAAACAGAACACCCAGTAGCCATGAATTAATATACCAATAAACTTAGCTATATTAAAATTAAGGACTATTTTTTTGTTGGAAGACACCAAGAGAATAAAAAGGCAAGCCACAGAATGGCAGAAGTTATCTGCATGCATATAACCAACAAAACACTCAAGTCTTAGAATGCAAACCCTTATAAGTCAGTAAGAAAAAGATAATTATCTCCAAAAAATACTGGCAAAGGTTGAATGGGCAAATCAGTGAAGAAGCCAATGAACATGTTAAAGGATGCTTAATATCATTAGTGATAAGAAAGAGTGAATTAAACCCTGATGAGATGTCCTTACATATCCACCAGAATGACTTACATTAAAAAGTTAGTGAGATAATGAAACCCTCATGTTGCTGATGGGATTGAAAACTAGTCCAACTATTTTGAAAAACTGGTTAGCATCTTCTAAAGTTGGAGATATTCATATTCTGTTTGTAGAGCATCAAACAAAAAAAATCAAATGTCCAATATCAGTAGAATGGATAAAAGAGTATATTCATACCACGGACTTCTGTACAGCACCAAAAAAAAAGTAACTGCAGCTACACAAACCAATATTGATGAATTTCAACCATTATGTGGAGTGTAAAGAGAGTACAAAAGAATACAAGTTGTGATCAAACAATACGGTGAATGTTTAAATTAAAAAAAATTATTACAGTAAAAGACACATTGTCATTAATGCTCCTCAAAATACTCCCCTTGGCTTCGAACACACTTATCCCACTGTTCTTGCCACTTTCTGAAGCAGATCTGGAAGTCCTCTTTTGTGAGTGTCTTTACTTCATCCTCCATCATGACAATGCTCCGTGTCACACATCGCTTCTGGTACAGCAATTTCTGTCAAATGAAAACATGGTGTGTCCTCATCCACCTTATTCAGCAGATCTGGCACCATGTGACTTCTGGCTCTTCCCCAAAGTCAAAATGACCATGAAAGGTAAATGTTTTGAATCGATTCAGGACATCGAGGCAGCCACAACAATGCAACTAAAGACACTCACGAAAGAGGACTTGCAGAACTGCTTCAGAAAGTGGAATAATGATTGGATAAGTGAGTTAGAAGTGAGCGAGTATTTTGAAGGGGATTAATGGCAATGTGTCTTTTACTGTAATAGATTTTTTATTTAAACATTCACCATATTGTTTGATCACACCTCATACATACTATATGATTACGTTTATATGAAGTTGAAAAAGAATGAAATGTTTAGTGATGCAAGCTTAGGTGATAAACTATAAAAAAAAGCAAGAGTGTTATTACCATAAATGACAGGATGGTGGTTCTGTTTAGAAAAGTGGGAGGGTGTAGGATTTGTCAGGGGATATGAGAGAGGTCTCTGACAATGCCCTGTTTCTTGACATGGGTGATAATTTTATGGGCTAATTCGCTGAGCTCTACATTTTTGTTCTGTGTTTTTTATGTGTGTTACTTCACACACATAAATACACAAGAAGTTAAAGTATTGCAATATAAAATAATTGTTATGCAAAGAGGTGAAGCAATTAGAGTTACTAAAATGATTGTTTTTAGGCTATTTCAGTTATAAACCACATTCAATACAGTCAACATAGACTTTGACAGTGAAAGATGTTGTATGGTAAAGTAAACTGGATTGGAAAGAAAAAAAATTCAACTGTAAAAAGATATGTAAGATACAGATCTTTTTCACCTATAAATGTGTTTTGCAGAAAACAAGTTTTCGTAGTCGGTTGGGAGTTATTTATAATCCTACATCAAAAATAAATGAAGAGAACACAGCTATTTCTAGAGGAATTTTGGCAGCTTTTCTTACACAGAAAAACAGCTCTTTGAGAAACTTTCTCAGTACACTGGCAAAGGAAGAAACTGCTACAGCTATTTACTCTGGAGATAAAATTAAAACATTCCTTACTAAGGTCAGTAGCTGTTTGTTTGAAATAATAAGTATGTGTTGCATATTTCGAAAGTGTGAGTCAATGTGCTTGGAAGTATGTTACTGAGAAATACCAGTTAACAAATATAATCATTTTGGGATAAATATTCCTTTGAATGGGAAAAGATAGATGTTAAACGATAGGATTTTGCATAGAGGCATTTAATAAATCAAATTTCATATATTTCAGCTGCTACTTCATGGTTCTTAAAGTTGATATCCTTCTAGTTAGAATATGTACTTAAGTGAAGAATTGGGAGTTGTAACCCTCGGGTATTTCACTGAAGGAGTCCAGTACAAGGGAATTTCAAAGATAGAAGATGATCTCCTGGATGAAAGATTCACTAATTCATTAAAAAAAAAATTATTGTCTGCCAGACAGTGGAGATATACTTGTGAACAAGGCAGATAGAGTCCCTGCTCTTGTGGAGCTTACATGGTAAAGAGAAAGACAAAGTAAGTGGTATTGAAAGAAGAAAGAAACATGCGAAGGTAGATGGTCTGAGGAATGCTCTTCTAGCTGGAGTGGTCAGGGAAGGTATTTCTAAAGAGCTGCTGCTCGAGCAGAGCTCTGAATGAAATGAGAGAGCCTGTGAGGAGAATGTATCAGGCTGGAACAGAGCAAGCCTGAAGGCCTGACACAGTCTTGACAGGTTTGAGGTATAGGCAGAGATCATTATGACCAAAATACAGAGAATGATGTGGAGACTACAAGGATGTGAGGTCAGAAACAACCCCAGAAATTTCAAGCACTTATAGGCCCTGGTAAGGAATTGAATGTTTTTTTTTTTTAGTATAATGGGAAGTAACTGAGGAATCTTGAAGATGACTTTGGATGCCATGTGAAGATTTGATCATTGGTAGCAGAGTGGAAATAGGATGAACAAGTAGCATGCCATTGCCATCAAATATGCAAGAAGTAATGGTTTCTTGGACTAGATAGTAGTGGTGAATGTAGTAAAATGATTGACACATAATATTTGTTATAACTGTGGTCAACAGGATTAGCTGATCAATTGTATATGACATGTGAAGATAATATCCTAGGATTTTGGCTTAAACAGCTAGACTTAATAGTGGTGTCTTTTTTTGAGATGGGAAGTCTAGATGAAGAGAAGCTTTGAACACCCGGGGTCAAGGGCTGTTTTGTACGTGTTAAGTTGGAGATGCCTGTTGGACATTCAAGTGGAAATGTTGAATTGACAATTGAGTAAATGGGTGTAGAAATCAATGGAGGGTTGTCTTTTTTTTTTTTGAGAGTCAATTTGAGGGTCATCGATATTATATAATTTCAAGCTATGAAACTGGATGAGATGCCTCAGAAGTGAGGGTGGGGTGGAGAATAGGGGGTTTCAGAAGAAAGTAGTACTTCTTCAAATCATAATTTAGTATAATTTGTATTTTACACTAATATATTAAAATAGGCTTCATTAAGAACATAATATATTTACTGTTTTCTTATTTGTTTCATTCTCATGCTTTAGGGGATGGATAAGAATGCTTTTGAGAAGAAATATAATACTGTTGGAGTGAATATTTTTCTAACTCACCAGATGTTCTGTCAAGATGTACTTAAATTGCATCCTGGAGAAATCGGTATTGTCAGCAATGGGAAAGTAAGTAGGAAAAGCAGTTGCTCACTTTTTTCAGTGATATGTGATACAGGGGTCTCAGACCTTTTTCTGTCACAACACACCTGACAAAACACACGCAGAGGAGGGCGCTTATATGCTAGACACAGCAGATAGGTCTCAGCTTCAGTAAATTGGGCGCTGAGAGGTTTGGTTTATGGCACAGTACCTGTTACTTTATCCCTTCCCCCGTTGATGAGAACGTTGAATGCGCATAAGGAAGAATGTTCTTGTGGGGATAACTTTTATTTGGTTTTAGTATAAGTATTAAGATAAACAACTTAGCACACATTACAACATTGTGATTGAGAACCACCTTTAGAGTAAGTGTAGAGAGTACATTGTGGCATCTTAATCTTCTTGTAGCTTTCTCTGCAATTGGTTGTTTAATAACAGCATGATACTTTTGTATTGAAATATAAAAGTATTTATAAATATAGCTTTTAAAAATCTATAGGAGAAAAATCACTTATTCCCACCATCCTAATAAAATTTATTAATAGTTTGTTTTACCTTATAACCCTTTTTTCTACACTACAGAGCTATTTTTTTAAATACATAATAGTAATTGTATATATATATATATATAATTTTATATTTTTATATCACACTTTTTTCTCTTAGTACATCACAAACACTTTTATAGACACAAAAATTAGGGGATAATATCTACTTATTAATATTTTTGGATATGATAGCCTGGTTTTATTTCTCAGGAATGATTTAAGTTTTAAAAAAATTGAATCTGATGCTTAGATTTATTAAGAAATGAAAGACAGTTTGGGGAATATAATCAATAATGTTGCAAAGATTTTGTAGGGTGTCCGATGGGCACTTGTCTTATTAGGGAGACCACTTCATGGACGGTGTAGATGCCTGACCACTTCACTGTACACCTGAAGCTGAATAATATTGAATGTCAACTCTAATTTAATATATATATATATATATATATATATATATATATATATATATAGTCACAGGATGTGGAGTACAGCATAAGGAATAGAGTCAATGGAATTGTAACAGCTATATACGATGTCAGAGGGGTAGTAGATTAGGGGTGGGGTTATCCTTTGTGAGGGGTGTAAATGTCTATTACATTGTTTTGTACACCTAAAACTAATAATAATAAAAAAATAACAGACAGGGAAAAAGAAAAAAAATCAACTAATGCATTGTTTTTGACACATCTCTGCTTGAACTGTCAAATTACATATATCTAAATCATCTTCAAAGCTCTAATACACCCTTAATATTTTCTTTGTTTTCTACATTTTTATGAGCTCTGTTTACCTGCATATTTTATTCCCATGCCATTGTTCCCTTAAAACTAAGGTTATTTATTTTTTCTTATCTGAATCTATAAATAATAGGAGTTGGAGAATAATGGGAGACCCACTCCCTGAAGCTTCCACAGGTCAAATATATCTGCTTCACTGTAACAGTTTTTGAGCTGACTAATTGTATTATCTCCTAAAGGTAGTTAGACTCAGGTTCGTCTGTGTACAGTGATGTTTTACAAATTGGTGACAGTGGTTGCCATTTATTATTACAGTAATATAAAGTATTTTCATAGCTATGTGAAAACCCAGAAATGGCATTGCTCTTTCTCTCTAACAATTGCTCTGGGAGGAAATACAGCTTTTTAGAACAGTTTTAAAGTATATGACTCTGTCAGGCATTTTAAGAAATAAGAGAAAAAAATTATACCGGCTGTGTCTAGTACCTTGTCTTTTAATTATGGAGAAGCTACCCTGCATTTTCTTTGTCATTGTTTAATATAATTCATATATTGTTATCAATATTAGTAATAACAAATATTAGAGTTATGTTCAACTTATTTCTCCTAGAACTGTTCTCATTTTCCTTGAAATTGATGAAGTATTCAGATATTTATTTCTCACCTGCTGTGAACCAAACGTTCTCCTAGATTTGGAAAGTACAGTAGTGAACAAACATGTTTTCAATAAACATGGAGTTTACATTTTGGTGGGTTAATAGCATCCTTACAGATAAGATGTCATTTGGACAGGAGGTGAGGGAGTAAGCCATGTCGAATACCTGGAAGAGGAATGCTCTGGGTAGAGGGAACAGTGAGTACCAAGGTTCTGAAATGGTCATGTCTGTGTGTTCTAGGAATAACCAAGTGGCACAGAGAATCAGAAGAGAAGCTCAGAGAAGTCTCTGGGGACCAGATCAGTAGGGTCTCATAGGCAGTTTACTCTGCATGAGTTATGAAGCTCATAGTTCCAGACAGAGAGGGTTGACATGATCCAACCTGTGTTTCATTTGAATCTCTAGTGTCTGTTACATTGAGAATAGACTACAGCAGGTGAGGAAATCTGTAAGAAGATAGTGCAGGAGTGCAAGTGAGAGATGATGATGGCTTGGACCAGAATGGCTATAGGGCAAGTAGTGAAAAGTAGATGTGGGATGTATTTTGGAGAAAGAATGAACAGGAACTCCTGGCAGACCTGATATGGAATGTGGAACTATCTAACTAGCAGAATGGAATTGCCATGTATGTAGATGAGGAAGACTGCAGGACAAGCAGGGGTTCAGTGAGATTGGGGGTTCAGGAAGAGTGGAAAGGGAAAGACAGAATTTAGTTCTGGACATACTTGTATTGAAAGTTCATTGCTCAGTTCTGGACCTCCACGTAGGCTTTTTGAGTTGGCAATTGAACATACGACTTGAATTCAGGGGAAAGGTTGGGGCTGGAGGTGGTATTATGTGAAATTATGTTGACTTTTTGTATTGATTAATAGAAAATTATAATTTTGCTTATCCTTTTATTTGTACAACTGTGGTTTGAATAGAAAAATATGTATCCAAAAATAAGTGTCATGGTTTATGAGCTTTAATGTAATACTTAGCTTTTATTCTGTCTCAGAGTAATGCTATAAAGCACATTAATCACAGCAATTGTAGCAGGTAGTTACCAATTCTGAATCAAAGAATTTAATGTTTGAAATAATTCTGACATTGTAGAATCAATGTTCATACTGAACCTGTCCAAACGTTTACATTTCAATTTAAACATAATCAAAGTTAAAACTGTTTATGCATGATCAAAACTGTGGAACAATGATACTATTTTTAATTTTTATTTTTTTGTTTTTCAGTTACAGTTGACATTCAATATACTATTAGTTTCAGGTATACAGCACGGTTAGACATTTATATAACTTATGAAGTGATCTCCCCAATAAACCTAGTACCCACCCAACACCATATATAGCTATTACAGTATTATTATCCACTGTATTTCCTATGCAGAATTTTACATCCCCATGAGTATTTCATAACTGCCAATTTGTACTTTTTTTTTTTTAAGCTGAGCCATCCTGCCACCTGTTGGCAGCTCAGCAGCAGCTCAGCTCGGGCCAGGACTCGAACCACTGTTGCTCAGAGCTCACACTCTTGAGCAAGCTCTTAACCAACTGAGCCAACCGACTGGCCCCTCCAATTTGTACTTCTTAATCCCTTCACTTTGTTACCCAGCCCCACAACTGCCCTCCCATCTGGCAACCAACAATAATACTTTCTTACTGCATGCTGAAGAATGAAGTTTATATATTTTAATATCAAATAAAACCCTAAATAATGCTATTGCTATTATTAATTTTTCAGCAATATTTACAAATTGCTGAAAAACATAAGGTAGTAGAGCAGGGAAATAAGCAAGGCCTTTTTTTTTTTCTTTTGTAGCCAGACAAATCTGGATTCAAAGTCCAGTTGCATCATTAATTATATGACCCCTATGAGACTTGGTTTCTTCATTTGTACAATGGGAATGGTAATAATCTGGTTTACAGAGTTGTCAGGTTAAATATACTTTTATATGTAGAGCACATAGAACCGCCCCAGACACAGAGGAAATTTTAGTAAATATTAACTCCTGTTTTCTCTTTAAATATTTGAAGGCTGCCATGGAAAACAGTGAGGACATTTATAGACTTGATTTGTGTTACACTCCTTGAGAATCAGTATAGAATCAAGGCCAGTTGGTCAAACTACCATGGATGGAGAGAGATTTTTACCTCAGTATGTGGATGAACATTGTAACAGAGTTTTCAAAAATTTTAATGAGCTGTTAGGAGGTAATGCATTTCTGTTACAGCAGTTTTTCTGTATATACATGAAAAATCACATCTCCAAAATGTTGTAAAGAAGATTTAAGCATGAGATAGTTTTATTGTACCATTACATGATTTTCAAGTTAAATGTTCCTTTTCCCAACTTGGACATAATGTGATTTTATACTGTTTAAGTTACTTTGTAGTATTAATATTATATTCCACTGAAACAGAAGAATCATTTTTTCCCAACCTATAATATTTGATGCTGGACTTACATAGGTGAAATAAAGTCTGTTCTCTGGTGAGGTGAATTTAATCAGTAAGTAACCATCTTGTTAATTCCTTAAGAAAATATTTATTTCCTCATTCTGAGCTATTAACAAAACTTCTCGAGTCACTAGAGGTGATATAGATAAAGTTCAGCTATTTTCCAGGGCTCTCCTATTCATAGTCCAAAAGTATAATATTGAAAGAGCTTTCAAAGTTACCTTAAAAATAATATCAAATCTTAAGGCGATAAATGTTTATATGTGTACTTTTAGTTTTATAATGCCCATTTTTTTTCATTTTTAAGAGCCATGTTTTATGTTTAAAGTAGAACATGATATTTGTTTAGCTACAATGCCAACATTCCATCTTCACCTGTGATACGATGTCATCTATGATATGCGCAAATAAGATTCAAGCACTACATTTCATTAATTTTTATAAATTATTAGTTGCAGAAGCAGATGAAGGGGAAGTGAGAATATATGCAACCATTTCATTCTGGTCTTTTTACTAAGAAAAAATATTCTGGTTGACAGATTTTCTGGTTGGTTGTCATTAAGTAGGATTGTTGAATACATGGGACTACCTCAAGCCCACCTTCTTCTACACCAGCGTTTGTGTTCATAATATTATGATGATTGCATATATTGACTTCCTCAGAAAATGTTAATGGTAGTGGAGTGGGTGGTGGTTGTGATAGACTAGCCATCCTGAGAAATTAGCTAAGTGGCAAGTCGGCAGCCTCCCACTCTGTACTTACTGGTTTAAAGCTAACCTACATGACCTTACTGAGCTCCAAAACATTTATACAACATCAGCTAGTGAAGATTGGTTGGCATTATTAAGTAATTATGTGGTTTGACTCTTGGTTTTTGCTCTTATGCCTTCCTTATATATTAATTCATATCTACATAGTATAGACTACAATTTATAGATGAATAGAAAATAGAATTGAAATTAAAAGATTTATAAAATATAGACAATTGCTTTCATAGTTTACCTGAGAACGAAAAGCTTTAGATGGAAGCATTATGTTTGAAAGTATTATAAAACTTTCAAATGGAAATAATTTGTTACTTTTTGTCACTTTGATTTTGGTGTTTATGCAAATGGTATTTGTAATATGAAAGGGAAAAAATATTTTTCTCGTTTTTTTTCCTAGTGGATTTAGCAAATGATGGGATTAATAGTCACCATCTGTTTAGTCTCTAGTCAGTTTTTGCTTAAAGAAATACTTATTTCATGAGAAAATACCTGTTCCCATGGGTTTCTTCTAAAAGATACAGTAATTGCTTTTATTTTAAGTTTTTAGGACCTTTAGATGAAAATTTCTATGCAGAAGATTTCTACATTTTGGAAAAGATAACATTTACTGATTTAGTAGAAGAAATTGAAGACATTGTTGAAAATATGGCAATCAACTCAAAGGAGTAAGTATTTAAAATCATAAGAGCAGTTCATTTCAGAGTTTGGTGTTTTCCATCTAATTTCTTTTTAAGATTAGAAAATGTTTCAAACACATACTCAAGTTAAGACGTAATAAAAAATATAGAAAATATAAGGAAATAATAAAAGACATCCATTTACTCACTACCACCAAACCGCAGAGGTTAATATTTTGTTTTATTTGCCTTGGATCTTACTGTTTCTGTTTTTTCCACCCATCCCAATCCCCTCCCTCCCCAAGATGTAACCATTTTCCTAAAAGTGGTGTGCATGACTCCCAAATTTGTGTTTTTATTTTTGCTTTATATGTAAATATGTATTATCAGTGTTTATTGTGTTAGATTCCTTGACTTCTTTAGAGAAATGTTATTATACTGTACGTCCCTTTTGCAGTCTACTTCCATAGAAGCTTTATCCACGTTCATTCATATTGAGCTAGCTGATTCATTTTAATTCCTTTTTGGTATTTCATGTTATGAGTATTCTGAAGTTCATTTATACAAAATCTATTACTGAGATACAGTTAACTTTGCTTTAATTTTTTACTATTATGGAAGTACCTTAATGAACCTGCTTTAAATGGCTCCTTGTGCAATGTGAGTTTAGAGTAGAGATGTGTTGTTATTGAGTTGTAGGGTATGCTTATCTTTAGCTTTACCAGATACTGCTAAATTCTGTCCTTTAGAGTAGTTGTAACAATCAGTACTCCCTCCAGAAATGCATAATAGTTTCTGTTTCCCCAAAACCTCACCAATACTTGGTGTTATCTGACTTGTTAATTTTTCCTATTTGATGTGAAATTTTATCGTGCTTTAATTTGTATTTTCTTGACTTCTAAAGTTGAGTATTTTCTGACATGATTATTTTCATTCATGTTATTTTTCTGTAAAATACCTGTTCATATCTTTTGCTTAGTTATCTGTTGGGTTATTTTCTTCTATAGTGATTCATAAAAAGATTGTTTATGATTATGTATACTAATTTTTATCAGTTGTCTGTGCAACGAGTATATTTCAGTCTGTGGCTTGGTTATTTACTCTGTTATTGTAAAACTTTACCACATATAAAAATATTATCAGGATTTTTTTCTTTGTGGTTTGTCCTTGATCTGTGTGAGGGAGTGTGTGTGTGTGTGTGTGTGTGTGTGTGTGTGTGTGTGTAAGATATATTAGAATTTTCCTTAGTCTGATTTCATAAAGATACTCTATTTTCTTCTAGAAGTTTTACATTTTTGCTTTTTTTTTTCTGGGTTTATATCTTTAATTCTTCTTGGATGATTATACTGTTCCACTGGTCTATTGCCTCATGACAACCTCACACTCCAGTTATCAGAGCTTTATAATAAATTTTGATATCAGATAGGGAAAATTCCCCCTTTTGCCTCTTCTTCAAAATTGTCATCACTATTTTTTGCTATTTGAGTTTCAGTGTAAGTATGATTAAGACCACTATAACAATTTCTACCAAAAGCCCTCCTGGAATTTTTCGGGAATTTTTTTTGATTTATAGGTTAGTTTAAGGAATTATCATCTTTATATAATATTGAATTGTCTATCCATTAAATATATACATACATTATTTATATGTAGCAATATAAATGTACATGTATATTTATAATATCAATAATATATAACTGATATATAGTGTATAATTTATATATAAGTATATATATATATGTATGTGAACATGTAGGTTGGTAGATAGATAATCACACTTACTTAGTGTTCCTTTTTTAGGTCCTTCAGTGAAGCTTCAATTTTTTTTCCATGAAGTTGTACACATATTTTTTTAGGTTTTTTCCTAGTATTTTATACTTTCACTCACTTTGTAAATGGTGGATTTTATATTACATTTTCTTTTCTTTTTTTTTTTTTTTTGCTAAATTACAGGACCAGTATTAAACTTCCATATTAATCTTCCTTGCTGGACTCTTCTTATTTTTTGTAACATTTTGTCTAATATTAGAACTCATGTTATTTGTGAATTATAAGGGCTTTATTCCTTAACTTTCAGTTTTTAAATATCTCATGTTGGCCTTTCTCTTATTTTAGTTTGCTCAATTTAGTGAGGAATATACGTGTTTTACTGTTCTTCTCATATACGTAGATTTAGGACCTGACAGGCTCTCAATTATTATTTTTTTTTATCAATTTTAGTTCTTTATTATTTCTTTTTAATCTGATCTTTTTTATAAACTTCTCAAGTTGGATTCCTAGCTTATTAATATCACATTTTTCCTTACATACCCTTAAATTACAGGTTTAAAATTTCTCTATAAACAGCTGTATAACATAAGTTTTGATTTATAAATAGTTCATTATGATTCAGTGCTAATATTTTCAAATTTCTATTTTGACTTTTTAATTGTTTTTTTATTTATAAAAACACCTTGAAATAGAATATTGGATTCATAAAACCACATTTTTTGTCTGTTTAATTTTTGTTTATCACCTGTGCATAACATTGTGCCTAGATCTTATTAGGTACCCAACAAATATTTATTGAAATAATAAATGAATAAAGTGTTTTAAATTGTTTTAAATGGCACAGTTGATTTCCAGTTTGTTCTGAACAGTCATTAGAAAACATGGCTTAGGAACATCAGTTATTTGGTTTTTATTTCTCCTAATTTTATAAGACAAGGTTAATTTTTTTTATTGTTTCATGCTTAATTTTTAAAAATTCTCTAATTACATGGAAGATTTTATGTATGTTTATTAGGTTGAACATATTTTTTTTTCAGGTCTTCGAAATACTGAACTTTTATCTGTCAGTTACTAAAAGATGTTTGTTAAACACGACCACTAGGATTGTGGATTTATTATTTAACTCTTGTACTCTTGTCAATTTTTGTTTTAAACATTTTGAGCTATTTATTGTCATGTATACCCTCATTCATAATTATTATCTTTCTAATGAATTATTCCTTTCATCGTTATACAAATTACTCCTTTCCTAATAATGATTTTGTCTTAAAGTCTGATGTAGTCTGATAGTTAAACCACATCAACATTGTTTTTGGTTAATATTTTTCTGTTTTATCTTTTTCCATTCTTTACTTTCATTGTATCAATGCATCTTAAAGCATATGGCTAGGTATTGGAGGTGGTTATCTTTCCAGAACTAAAGTTCTGATCCTTTCTCTTGAATACAGAGTTCTGATTCAGATGAAACTGATGTCATTACTTTATCATTTAGGCAATGATATTTTTAAAAAATTCATCATTTAGGAAAAATGTCAAAAGAAAATTATGTTTGTAAAGTAGTAAAATAATGGCTTTTCTGCAGTGAAGAGATAATATCCATAGTTGTTTTCAAGTGTAATAAAAGAAAACTTTAAATAGCAAAAAATATAATTTTATAATTAAATAATTTAGGACTAGTATATGTTGAAAAGCTTAATTCAGTAATTATTTGTTGAAATATATAAATATAGTGTTAACATTTCAAAGCTAATATTTTAACCTTGTTTGGTAAAATATATAATTATAGTTTTAAGTAGGCTCAGGAAGCAATTTTAGCCACTTTAAAGCTGCATTTCAAACCAAAAGCATCACCAAAAATCAGTACCATTAAACTATAACAACATCCCCTCTAATTGTCTTAAGTTGTTGCATGTACAGAAATAATGCTAAATAAGTTGTGTTGTAATTAGAATAAATTCATATTCACTTAAATCTGGACATACATTAATGGTATGCATCCTTATTTTCCTTTCCTAGAGTTATTTAACTAGGAAGGCAGAACTCTGAATGCCAAAAACAGAATCTTTAGAACCATTATCCCAAGGGGCACATAAAATCTTGTTCTCTAATGGAGTGATTACAACTTACTCTGTTCTTAGAGATGTCTCCAGCGCTCAAGCAGTTTCTAGTGCCCTTTCACCTCTTTAGTTCAAAATACTTTTCCAAAAGAGAGACAAATTGGGCGGGCCAAGTGGCGCGTTGGTTAAGAGCTGGCTTGGGACGCCAGAGGACCCCGGTTCGGATCTCACATATGAGGGCCAGTGACACTGCCCTCTACAGCTAAGATGTTGAACAACAGCTCAACCTGGAGCTGGGCTGCTGTGAGTCGCCGGCGACGGCATAGGCTGCAGCCCCTGCTGCAGTGGCCTGCCATGAGCTACCATGAGCGGCCGGCAGCCGCCGTGAGTGGCTGGTAGCCAGTATGAGCTGCCAAGGGCTGCTGTGAGCAACCATCCAGAGGCCGGTGACCCATCTGCCTCAGCCAGGAAAAACACAATGATCACAATACCAACATGGGCCAGTGAAGCAACATCCTCCACAACTAGACTGAAGAACAAAAGGACAGCAACTTGTCTGTTCCCCTTCCCCCAATTCCCCAGCGCTGTTCCCCTCCCCTAATTTCCCAATAAAAATCTTTTTTAAAAAAAGAGACAAATTGACTCTTTTGGGTCAAAATTGGGTAGCTGAAAATTCAGCAGAAAATTTAAGAAAAGGTTGTTTGGGACCTCAAAGGTTTTCCTTTTCTCATTTCCTGCTTATCTCACCTCAGTACATAGGTAGGACGTAAGCAGTTGTCCCAGTTTAAGAAGCATGGGGAGCATGTTTGACCATAAATATTTCTTACATTGTGCCTACAATTTTACATATTGGAGATTATGTAGCTGATAAATAAATACCTTTGTGAGAGTTTAGGAATAGATATTATGATTGTGATTAATTCATTTAATATGCATATATGTTTATTAAATAGCCATTAAATGCAATGATTTGTGAAAGATATGGTAGGTATTATGAATAGTAACCTATTTTTAATATAAAGTGCTACATTTCAGCACTCGTACTCCAGTAAAAGGTGATCTAGAGAGAGAGATTGCAAGATTCTTAATCATTCTGAATCTAAATTTCTTTATTTATAAAATGGAAGTGCCTATCTTTTCTCTTTTTCTTTTACTTTTTTTTTTTAAAGGAAGCCTTCTGTAAAGTTCAGCCAATATTTTCCAGCATGTCATTGAACATATAATATATTTACCCTATCATGGATTTTCAAATTTGGTTATATTTAATCTAGGTATTTTGTGAAATCGTAATTACTTTTCAAACTTATTTAAAACCATAAAAATCTGGGCTTCGTAACTATATTAAAAATTCTTTGAAAGTAAATATCCTGTTATTTACTTTTTGTTTCTTTTGCCTTTCTTTCTTTGCCATGTGGGCCCCACTGCTTGGACTCAGCAAATACTGAATTGAATGATTCACCATATTCTTATAGACTCTGTTGAGAATACTACTTATAAGTGTTTAAAGATTATATCAATGATAAGAAATATTAGGATGATTTTAAAAGCAAGTCATCTTTAAATTGACAAATTCTACTTACTGGAAAATTTGGAAGAAAAATCATTTATATAAAGTTTGTTGGAGGTATTTTGAATTAAATTCCCCTTTCTCAGGACATTAATTGTGACATGAAATATGGACCTTTGTCTTCATGAAAAATTCATACATTGTTTATCTTGTTTACCTAGCATGAGTGACCTTGTTATGAAAGTTGATGCCCTTGTTTCCTCTTTGCCTAAACGTGGAACGCGGTATGATGTCACATTTCTTAAAGAGAATCATAGGTAAGAATGTAATAGTATGTGTTTTTCTGTCACTGCATCCTGTACTCAATTATGGTTCCCATTTGTATTCATAATATAGCAAAATTTAAGGAGAAATAAAAGTTCTACATTTGAGAATAAATGTGTTTGACAAGATCAGGATAAGAAATTCCAGTTAATTATATATTCTAATTAATAAAGGATGATATATATATATATATATATATATATATGATATGAACTTTCAAGTAAGTTATACCAAGTATGATTTGTATTATCATTCTTTCATGCTCAAGATCATTTGGAATTTTTGCAGCATAAATCATTATAAATAACTTGATATAATCATTATAAATAATTATATCTTCATATTCTCAATGCAGAAAACTCAGTTACTAAAGAATTCTGGTTAATAAAATGTAGACATATACAGCAGCATGTCCCAAAATGTGTTCTATGAAACACTACTCTGAGATGTTGACAGATATATTCTGAGGGAAAAACTGTTCTCTGATCAAGTAAGTTTAGAGAACACTACATCCTTGAAGGGGACAGATTTTCAGTGCTCATCAACATATTAACTGTTATGAGACGTGTAGTTAAAAAAAAGTTTATTTTTGGCTAATTAAGCAATTGAGTAAGTTATTTATCCATGGAACATTTTTTTATTAAAAATTTATTATTTCATTAAATTAAGTTTCTGAAGACAGCTATCAGAGAAATAGTCTTTTAGAATAGTAAACTAAGTTATAATTTCATTTTGAAACTTGAAATAAAATTCATTAAGCTCAGTCTACATATATATAATTATCTGTGTCCCCAAAAGGGAGCCTTCCTTGTCGTTTTTAATTAAAGACCATTTAGAAATTGGAGAAAAAATCAAGTAGACATTATGTAACTATAGACATGTTTTATTATATGATCTTTTTAAATCACTACTCCTATAAAACTAAATTGAGACAAATTACTTTAACATAAACTTAAAATGGCTGATACTTGTACATTTTCTGATGTTATGGTAGATGCGATCTAATGTTGCTTGTGTGTACTAAATTCTTTAGCTCTAGAAAGTATCTTTTGAGATGTCTTCATACATGTATAGTATTGTTATTTTCAGGAAAAATTACTTTCTAAAGAGAAATTATCTAGCCTGTTGGGAGTGAAGTTTTCTTTTTCTTTTTTTTTTTTTAACTGTGACTCAGTTCTTTTAGGTATTTAAAGCACATCCAATGGAATTCTTTTTACAAAATTTTTTTATTTCTTAAATACTATGCGCTGAAATAACTTAAGACAAATTATTAAAAGCTATCATTGTAAATATTAGTTACTATAGTGTTCCTTTAAATTATATTATACTGAGAACATTCGATATGTTTGGAACTATTTACTCCCGCATTAAATGTCTGAAACATTTGATCTTGATAGTTTATTGTTAGTTTAGTCTCTGCTTTCTTTACCTTTCACATCAGTGAATGTGTCCTGCTGCTTTTAAGCCTACTGCCTTATTTTATATAGAGGGACGGATATAGTGTGACTTTGTGATAGTGGTTTGCAATTCCTCAATTTTTTTCTGTTTATTTCTGGGGAATAGAATTCTGATTCATACAACCGCACAGAATTGTCAGTAGTCTGAGGGAAAAAACCTAAAATAGATGACTACTTTAGCTATAACTTTCTATAAAGCATACAGAAAGCTATCAGTTTTGGGTAGTGCTATAAGTATGACAGTAATTTGTAAAATTTTCACCAAGACAACTAAAGGAATTAACCATTGTAGATGGTCTCTCTAATTTAAAACATTGATTTCTAGCTCTTATTTCCAGCAGTAATTATCCAACAGATTCTGTTTTCTGACTCTGCCATTCCTATTTTAACATAAGTAAATCATACCAACTGCCTGTAAAATAAAATGTCCTTCATTTTTCTGTGTTGGGAGGACCCATATTTGAAGTGACTTTTACATTAGCTTTTATTGAATTGCTAAGAAATTAATCATTTTAATGCAAAAAGTCAAATATTTATAGTCTTTCCATACTAAAGAAGACCTATATCCCTATAACTTTACAGCTGTACATTTTGATTTGGTAATCTTTTTGTAAATATTTAAAATATTTAATTTATACATCTCAAAAAAACTGATTTCCTATATTATTACAGTGTTAAGACTAATTCAGCTGGAATATTCTCAACTTTTAGTTAAATATATACTTTTAACTTTTAATTATATTAAACATAAGCCTGATTATCTCCCACTGGCCTTTTCTGTGCTTTTAATTATTTTCTAAAATTTTCTTTAAAAATTAGTCCATCTTTTATCTTAGATCAATGAAAGAAAAAACAGAAATGACAGAAGGGAGGAGGTGTGGAGAGTATAGTTGGGGTCAAAATAAAGTATGATAAGTCTGGTTTGTTTGTTTTTTTTCCCTGAACTTATCTGTTATAATATTTTGGGAGGGGTTTAATACTAAATTTAATAAAAGTACTGAATAGTTAATTTAATCCTTCTCAAATATGAAAAAATGTATCCAATTAACACAAAAGCATCTTGGCTTTATTTTTTACATCATGTGCTCCATGAGAATTTGGGGGCTTAAAAGTGTCAGTTTTCACTATAATAGTATTGTTCTTTTTTTAATTAAATTTATTGGGGTGACAATGGTTAGTAAAGTTACAGAGGTTTCAAGTGTACAATTCTATAATACATCATCTATATATCACATTGTGTGCTCACCACCCCGAGTTAGTTCTCCTTCCATCACCATATATTTGACCTTCTTTATCCTCTTCTATTCCCCCTCCCCTTTGAAGAGTTTTTTAAAATCGATCAGCAAAGCTTACTTTCACTTTCTCTAATTCATGACACTTCTAATTTATTGAACACAGACATTAGAGTTTTAAATTTGCATTTTCTTCTGTAAACAACCAGGATTTTTTTAATCTAGTGAGAAAGCAATTTACAACAATGTATATAGCTAAGACTAATTAGGTAATTGAATAAACTTAATTGATCATTTTCACCTTATATATTTTCTATTTTTCTAGCATTATAAAGATAAATCCTCAAGAGAATGATATGTTCTTTGATGTTATTGCTATTGTTGATCCATTGACAAGAGAAGCACAAAAGATGGCACAGCTATTGATTGTAAGATATTTTTATCATAAATTTTATATAATTTATATCGTACTTTTTTAAAATTTATAATTAATATTTTTGAGTCTGTTTTCAAGTATAATTAAACTTTGTGCTCTTGATTCTTTATTCCATACAATGTTTGAAATATATTGTCATATTTAAATGTATAAAATGAAATGGTAAAACTGTGCACAGGGTGTTGTGGCAGCTCCAAGGTTATGTGTTGCTATAGACTTAATTGTTGCCCCCACCCCAAAGTTCATATGTTGGAGCCCTAAAGCCCAGTGTGACTGTATTTTGAAATAGGGCCTTTAGGAAGTAATTAAGGTTAAATGAGATCTTACATGTTGGGCCCTAACATAATAGTATTGATAGCCTTATAAGAAGAGGAAGCAAGAAAGAGGGACCTCTTTCTCTTCTCACCTGCACACAGAAGAGGTTATGAGAGTGCACCGCAACATGGCAGCTGCCTACAAGCCAGGAAGAGAGCCCTCACCATAAACCAAGTCAGCTAGCACTTTGATGTAAAATAAATAAATTTCTGTTGTTTAAGCCACCCCATCTGTGGTATTTTGTTATGGCAGCCCAAGCTAACTAATATGGGGGTCTCCCTGTCTCCACGTGTGAAGAATGGCTTCTGGAAAAGCTGAAGCCTAAGCTTAATTAATTGACGTTTAAAGTATAATAAGTAACATTATTCAAACAGGTGAAGCTAAGGGAAGAGGAATATGAAGGTTGCATTTAATAGTTTTGGTCACTGTAACAGAGGTGAAAGTAACAGTACCTTCGGGACTCAGTTTTACTTCCCTCATCTCACAGTCCAGGTATAAGCTGCCCGCAGTTGCTAAGGCAGCTCCATAGTGATGAGGGCTCAGCCACCTCCTTGCTGGTTGTTCAGCCATCCTCATGAAGCAGCTTCTGTCTAGTGGTCTAAAATCATTTGTCAAGCTCCTAACACCATGTCTGCTACTGCCAGCAGGAAGGGGGAGATCAGGGGCACAACCCCAAAGCAAGGACATATTCCACGCAGCCCCATCTTACCAGAATGTAGCCAGTCGCCTGACTACACCTGGTCACCAAGGAGGATGGAGACACTGCAAAAACCTGAAAATTCTTTCACTAAGAAAGTAAGGGGTAGTAAATATTAGGAGACCGGTAGCAGATTTTGAAAGGATATTATGTGGCTTATCATTTGAAAAATGTAAAGATTCAAGTTGTGATTCAGCTTTCAGTAGTTAAATTGAAACAAGCTAGTATTGGAAGGCTATATATTTTTTCTAGGGATCTTCAAAATCTTTGTGTACTCCTATTTGAAGTTACTCAAATTTTTTTTTAAGACACATTGAAAACAATTCTCAAAAGTGGAAACTTTTTGTCCTTTGACAGTTGGCTTCACTTTTGGAAACAGGCAAAAGTAATTAGATATAAAGACTGGTGAAAGATGTAACTGATCAAGCTGTGTCATGCTGGTGTGTAGTCAATCAAATTTCAAAATGCTATTTTTCTCAGAAATTAGTTGGCCCTACCAAATCGTATTGGAAAGGGGATTGTAGATCTCTGTTATAGGAGTATTAATGTGGACAAATAACTTTGGAGAGCCTTTGGCATTCTACCTATTTATTATAACTAGGACAAACTTTCTTCTTAGTATATGAATTCTTTATTCCTATGGAGAGTCTATTCAGAAAAAAAACATTGCTTGCTTCTGAAGCTTTTATGCAAAAGTAGAATGTAGAAATAAGAAATATAGGATTATACAGAAGTTCAAAATATGGAATTGCATTACAGTTTACATCATTGGTAATGATAGCATACTTTATTTCTGAGCAACACAGTACTTCACATACTTACTTTTTCTTACTACAAAGAAAATTTATGCTGTAAACTTATGCTTATAAAGCATAGGACGAAATAGTGTGTCATTTAACACTTAAGAGAAACCGTGTCTTAGAGACCTCCAGTGTAGCAAATATGAGGAGTGATAGAATGAGACTTGAAACTCAGAGCTCTTAAATCTAATTCCTCCTCAAGCCTGCATTTTTTTCTGCTCCATATATCTGTTTTTTCCTTCTCCCTTTACCTCATCCCTTCTTTTCTAATATCTTTCAAATCCCCACTGACTTGTTGCTTATTTAGAGGTGGGGAGTATCAAAATTAATAATTCTCCTACTTCGTGTGCTCCAGGGACATGGAAAGAAAATTGAGTATGTCATCTGTATGTAGCCAAGAACTTCCTGTACCTTTTGGAATGTCAGTGAAATTCCAAAGTCTCAGGGCACCCTTGCCATTGTTTTGAGGTTAACACTTTGCATTGGCAGGTCAAGGTTCTAATGATTATTTTACTAGTTCTTTAATACTAAGGAAATTTATACTATGAAAGAAAGTCAGGGCCGGCCGA